ATTTGTTCCATCAATTATTCTTGCAAATAGGAACAACTAACAATAGTGATATATTCCGTATCTTCTAATAATTTGTGATATATCTATTGTGTGTTACCGTTTGAAGCATTATGTATATTATAGCGGGAGCCCATGGTCTTTGGCCTCTAGGTTTCCGGCATTTCTAGAAAATAGACCAAAAATACTTCTTCTTTATTTATTTTTTTCACTTTTTTACTATTGCACCATTCAATAAATCCCTTGTAGTACTTCTCATACCTTTCTTAAGACTTCGTTGGCAATAACTCATCGCAATTCCACAGAATCGAAAATGACAGTAACGCTCTGTCTGTCACTCTGAGAAACTTACTAAATACTGCAACAAAAAATCTAAAATTTTGATATTTAGTCACCCACCACTCATGTTTTGCGAGAATATAAATGTTTTTCCTGCACTATAGTGTGAGAAAAAATATCCCGCACTAGTTTTTTTTTTTTTTTTTTTTTTTTTTTTTTATCGCTTGGAGCGCACGAAAGAGAATCCCTACTGCGAGAAAATGACACTTCCCAAACTAAATTGCGTACGGGTATAGGGTGAATATCGCAAGCTTGTAGAAAAAATAATTTCCATCCACAGATAGGTGAAGGTCGAACTTACTTCGGATATGAGAAATAAAAAAAATACATCATGGCTGCAGTAAGGGATATCATTGATGGAATTGACGTTTTACCATGGTAAAACTCAGTAAATTTTTTTGAATATTATATAGACATGGATGTCCTGAATTTTACAGGAATTCTCATTACGAGTTACCTATATGCCGGTCGGCAAAATAGTCCGCGGGCGAAAAAGTGCAACTCTTGGCTTTTCTAGCTCTCATTTTCGGAAGTCTTCTGCTTCCTTCGTTATCGCATTCCATCGCAATGAAAGACGCTTCATAATACAATTAGAGTGGAGCAACTAAGTGCTTCCGGAGAAGACCGGATTTGTTGCCTGGAAAATAAATATCGCTTTTGGATTGCGTCCTTCCTGAATTGCACATCTACAAAAATTCTCCATTAACGGTGATGAATGTTTCATTGGGAAAGATATCAGGTAAACCACAGCTAATCACCAAACAAATAGAGTCGCTCATCATCATTTCATGGCGTGTTTTGGCTATGGATAGTACAATGGGCGAGTGGAGTGATAATGCATTTGATTTTTCCAACACTCCTCACGCTCTTTTTATGTAAATAATGAGTATACACTGAGAGAAACTGGATATTAAAAATATCTACCAGCTGATTGTAATAACCATTATAAAGAAATCCCCTATTTCTGAACATTTTATTATTACAACAGTATTCTCTCTATTCTTCAATTATTAAAATCGCTTTCTTAAACCATGTGTAATACCCTTGAATGGGCATTTGCTACCATCATAACGCAGGTGTGTTATGACAATATGAGAATTTTATAAATCCTAGTCTATGTTGAATGTTTGTCCCAATAATCATAGCTGTTTGTGTTTCTAGCATTTTACGTTGAATAATAACTATTGCAATTCACATGCATGACGGTTATTAGACAATCATTCGACAATCGTAATTTGGCTAATCATTTCGCTCTAGTTTTTCATTAGTTTAGGGGCTGACAAAGCTACAGATCGCTTTCATTTCCACTTCTGTTCTCTGTCATGGGTGCCCGTGTTCAATTATTGTTCAATGGTTTCGATCTTTCGAATCGATAGAGCCGTATCTTGTGGGCGAAGGTGTGTGATGTAGCAAAATTTTGTTCTAGTGCTGGCTGTGGAATAAACACACCGTGCATTGCATTACTGCAATGAGAAAAGTATTCTCCATTACCCACTTTTCACGGCCTGAAATTGTTTTTTTTTTCGAAAAACAAAATGATCGATGAGATTCTGAATTAAAATATCTGGGTTTCTGTGAGGGAAGTTTCATTGACAATTCTCATCATAACTCTGTAGGAAGAGTAAATATAAGTATTCAACTTCTCATTTCTTAATAAATGTGTCAGTATGCATATAGATGATATTTCTCCGAAAGAAATCAATGAGTAATGTCAAAAAAAAACTTCCAGAGAAACCCAGATATTTCAATTCAGAAACTAATAGTATTTTTTGTTTTTTGAAAAAAATAACCTTGGATCATGAAATATAAGTGTGGATAGGATATTTATTTCCATTGCAGTAATTCAAAGCACGGTTTCACAATGCATAACATCGAACAATGTTGATGAGATAACATAATTACCACTCTGTTTGATGAATATACTAGAGTAGAAAAATATTGGGATAACTGTTGAAAATGTGCTGATGACTATAATAAAATGAGACGAATTACTGCGTTACCTCAAGATGGTTGTGCCAGTAATGAAAACAGGCTGTTTTATGACGATAGTCGAATAACCACTGTAAAGTGCATAAGTTACTGCAACATTAATGTAAGAATAATTTATAATCGACACTCTGTGTTATCATAGAAACTTGAACAAGTGGTATAGTTATTCAGCAGCGGTGGTTTATACAAGTTTGCAAATTGAATATGCTGCCATAATTTCAAAATTCACTACATCTTTGGTAGCGAATGAACACATCCGTCCTCTATGTTTTGCAGATATCGTTATAACGGTTATCAGATTTTCAATTATGATAACTCAAGTTTTCTCTCAGTGTATGCGTTGTTTTCATGCTGTTTCGTTATTGGTCAGATAATCTTCCATTTCCACTCATGAAGCAAGGTTATCAACTCACTAATTATAATAAGTTATCAAACAGATATTAGGGTCTTGTCACTCCTGTTGTTGAATGAAACACGAGATAAAGCATAATAAGAGGAAGCCATGATATTATAGTTCATTCTGGATACATTGGTTGGTGTTGGACAATTCAAGCAATGATTTTTCAAGACTATACAAACATATTTCAGTTTAACAAATAGCTAAAACCTTCATTCAATTCTCACCATGTTGTTTACATCTACCATCATTCCTCATTCTTCTAGAAAGTTGATTATTCCATATACGGTTGTATCACACCTATAACACAAACTTTCAACGCTAGGTAAAAAGTCTGGAGATTTAATTTCCTTCTTCTGAAGGCAAGAATTTCCCTTGATTTAGGTGTTTGTGAGAGCTACAAACGCGCGGAGATCATTCACGTTCAAAATCAAGCTCGTTTGCCCTGAGTATTTCCTCATATTCACGTACAAATGCTCGTCATGTCTGAAAATCTCATAAAATAAATTCGTTTGCCTTAAAAACTCCTAAACATGAATATTCATGAGCGCACCAAAAGATCCATCTTATCTCTCATTGTTTTATTTTCTTCAAATACTGGTTTCTTTTTCAAAAAATTCATCTCACATGCTCATGAATGCGCTGATCAATCGTACGACCTGTCTGAATGATTTATACCTTAGGGCAAGATCCACAGTTGAGATTGTATACCCCTGATTTTTCGAATTCAAAAGTTTTGTCTTTAATATTTTTGATAACCTTCCCAACGTGTTATTTGATTCATATTATGCTACTTTCAATTCCTGTTTATGTAGAAATGAAGCTGATTTTTCAGTTGATGATCCGAAATAGGTTGAAGTTCTATAATTTTGATTATTTTTGATGGTACGATGAATTTCTTGAGTAGCTTTATTATGGAGTTTTTTAGAAAGAATACTGTCTATCAAATTAAGGTTGTATCCGTTGTTGACTGCAATCTGTTTCATGATATTGAGTTCCATATTGAAATTTATACTTCTGAAAGAGGGACATTCACTAGCATGTGTATCAAACTATTATATGCTGCAATCTTATGTTGATGAGGGTGTGTTGAATCATTATGAATAGTGATATCAGTGTGGAAAGATTTATAGAAAATTGATACATCACTTATTGTCCAATCGTAAAAATTTATTGACATTTCTGTTTCTATTTCCATTGTGAATTTTATGTTTGAAAGAATAGTATTAATATATTGGTGAAAAGTGTCTAATTGTCCATTGGTTCCTTTCAAGCATACTATAAGGTCTTCTACGTATCTATACCAATACAAAAATTGTTTATCAATGGATGTTCATGTATTATTCGCTCCATGTTATCCATGAAAATTTCAGCAAGTAAAGGGCTCAATGATTTCCCGTAATCAAACCTTTCGATGCGGAATATATGTTGTTGTCGAATTGAAAGTAATGTTGATTGAGACATATTGACAGAAGGTCTAAAATCTTTATTTTAGTTCATTTCATTGTATCAGTATTTCATTTGATGTCGATTAAAAAAAAATATCGTAGAATCTGGACTTTTAAAGTAATATGGCGACTTCAATAGTTGGAATTATTACTATATTATCATTGTGCACCTTGATATCCTCATTCACTATTATTTAAGAAATTTCTCTTATTTCTGAGACGTAACGAAATTTTAACCCAGGCAAAAAATGATGATGAAAAATACCTCACCGAGTACCTCATAACCTAGGTGTATTTTGTACTATTTTCTATTCGTTATATACCTGGTGTCACAGAGCTGTGAGGCCAGCAGATACTTGTGTTATCTATGATACAATAAAATGAGAATATGTGGAATATATGTCAGCAAAAGCTCTCCAAAACAATGAATAATTACCCTTATGACAAAAAATCTACTAGAAAACACCCCTACATTTGGTTTTTAATATTGCACCCATATGTTTTTTCGGTTCATTTTACATAATTTTACATTTTCAATTCAGTGATATGTCGGACTTATATTTGATTAGATTAGATTTCATTGATTTCCAGATGAACAGAAAATAATACGGGGGTACAATTTCGAAAACCGAAATAAGCTGTGGTTTGACACAAGGGTGAGTTGATATCACCTTTTTGAAGAGCTTTTGCACCCATAAAGTCCACATTGTTTTTAAAATTTTTCGTGTTTAACCCAGATATTTGTTGGTCTGAAAGATCTGATGGGATACCCGGTATAATATGATTCCTGAATATCGAATGAACTTAACACGTATTTTTTGTATTTCAAGGAAAAAGCATTGGAAGGGTATTGTCAGAAGGTCCAGGAATTTTGTCCCAAAATATCCGGACCCCAAGGCCCACCTGGTCCCAAAGGTGATAATGGACAGCCTGGTATGAGAGGGTTTCCTGGAATTCCTGGAGATATGGGTACGTCATTTGATTTCTCATATTATGATTCAAAACGGTGAAAGATGTTTGTCTTCGAAATCGATTCTGGTCAATTGCTATCTGTTTAAGTTCCTATCGTGATTCTTAATTTTTCATTTGAATTTATTTAATCGATTCTGAATTATTCAGTCCCATAATTTGAATTTGACTAATCTCAAATTGAAGTTGGGGAGGTATTGTATTTTGATTTCAATTCGGTATTGTAATTATTATTGTTTCATTCCTTATTGTTTGATTTTGTTTTTGTTTTGAATTTTTATTTTCGTTTATTATTTTATAGGTAATAGGGGATTACAAGGCCAAAAGGGTGATACCGGTATCAAAGGTTTGCACACGTTGAATTTTGAACTCAACTCACTTTATGGTTTATTTATTTTTCAATTATAGGCAATTCTGGTCTTCGTGGACCCAGAGGGGACAAAGGTGATAGGGGTCGTGATGGAAATAATGGTTGGTTATCTATATTTCTCTACTTCATCAATAACTATTTTCATTTCACATTCATCATGAAATATGGGTGTTTAAGGTTTAACCGGTCCTACTTTGAGATTCGGTAAAATAAACCTGATCGAACGAAGTTGAAGATATTGTGTACCTATGTTGTTTGCGTTCAAAAACGTCCTTAAATTTCAAGTTTATTCAGTTCATGAATGAAAATATCCCATGCATAATCATTTTTCGGTTAGATATATTTTTCTTCAACTAGTTGATCAAAATAACACTTTTATATTTTCAGATGAAGTGACAAACATTATTATTTTAGTCCACATGACATTGAATTATTGTTCTCACACAATACTCCTTAATTCAAGAGCAAGGATTTGATTGGTACCTAAATAGATTTGAAAATCAGTAATGTCACTTTCATTTTCGTGATAAAAATAATTGAAGTGAATTTTGCAACTAGGCTTTTTTGCATCCAGTATTACATATTTTTATTGAAATATTTGTATTCCTTCCTTTTCCGTTAATTGACAATTAGGAATGACTAGGGTGTTCCCGAATTTTCCAAAATTCATATGAGCTGAAGGATGTATAGGTTGATACAACTCGAAAAATTGTATCAACCAACTGCGACTCGACAATTTCAGTTGGATATTGAACCAAATATGTAATAATTTCAAGAAATAATAAAACTTCTAATTTTAGCGTGAAAACTTTAAATTCCACATGTATATAATCGATCAATACAACCTAGTTTATAGTTATTTCCGAAGCAATGACTGTTCAAGAACTCATCATAACGAAAAAACAACTGTGTGTTGATAAATTAGATAGTAGTAGTATATGTACTTCGTTGGTAGGTATGTACAGCCCAAAGTGTTTTGAGATGATGTGTTCTGTGTAGGCTTTGTTACTAACTCCATACGCCACCTTAGGAGCAGCGCTGTTAATTGGAATGCAACAGTGAATCGTGCAGGACTATCCCCAGCCGATTCTCCGAACTAAACAATATGGAATTCATGAACAAAATTTAAAAAAAAAAGTAGTTGCCCTGGCTGGGAATCGAACCCACGACCCCAAGGCCATGAGTAGGGCACTAGTCCACTGCGGCAATCCCGCCAAAATTAGACATTTCTGTCCTGTTTTGTGGAATGCACGAAATCGAATCGTCACATGAAATGACGCGTTTCCCAACTGGTTATTGACGTGCAATATTTTTTCTTATTGAAAAAAATCGCTCGACCAAGAATAATGATCATTTCTACATGAGTTCTATATAGATTATGTTTACAAAGATTAGTAGGCAAGTTGATTTCGCCTTTTATTCCGAAGTAACCATCAAACAATGATACAATGAATGACGAAATATATTGGCATTAGCGGAAAATATTTGATTCAAGTACAGATTCACCAAGTGATATCGAGGAAGCAGCACAATCCTACGAAAGTGTAGGAATGCCACTGTTGTGTGTATTTTATTTCTTTATTCAGATATTTTTCACTGGATTCAGACATATTTGCCTGAATTCCATATTTTTGCTCCGTTACTAGTGTTGAAATTTGAAATAATGAATGTTTCATCACTAGTTATGAAACATTCTAAAGGCTAGGTAAAGTAAGACGTTTCACAACTTCCGTCCGTTTTGAAAATCATCAAATTATATGTCAAAATTTGAAAAATGAATATGAAATTTTTCGTGGCTAATTTGATATTAGGGACTCCAGGTTTGCCAGGAGAAAAGGGCGAACAGGGCCGGCCTGGCCTCGACGGCCGAGACGGCCTACCCGGAGAACCCGGACTCTACGGCCGACCCGGAAGAAACGGCTATGACGGCGCCCCAGGGAAAGATGGGGTTCCGGGAAGAGATGGGAATGATGGCATTAACGGTAAGAACGGAATTCCTCTGATGAAACGAAGAGTTGGGTGGAGTGAATTTTCACTACATCAATTGGATCGCAATCTATAATACTCTAACCAATTCTCCAAACCTCTTATCTGAAAATGATGCATCACATTAACCATCTTCAACTCGATTACAAAACTTCCGTTACACATATGAATTTCTCGAAAACATTTTGTGTACACTTCAAATAATGACAGGGGGGAAGATACACTTCAAATAGACTGAAAAAATTAGTGATCTCGAAATTTTAATTGTATTGTCTCAAAAAAATATTCATGTTTCTACTTCTATTTTCAATATCTTCGGTATTCATGAATTTTGTGCATTGTTAATATTCTATATGTTGGAAATATTCACGGCCAATATCTCCCAGGATAGCTTTTGGGTCTCAAGAAATAAGAACTATACCGAGAAACTCAATACTTTGCTTTATTTGTAAGAAAACGAATATCCAAATTCCAAAAACTGATTTCGTGTTCAAAAACAAAAACTTGTTATCCCTCGTCCTGGAAACCTCCCAGAAAAACATAATCTCTACAGTCAGAATAATACAAGGTGACTCGGGAAATCTTCTACATATATGTAGATGGGTAATTGGAAGAGTCAAATACAGTACTTCATATGTGAATTATAAAAATGTTCCAATGTTTCATAAAATTCTGACATCATTCCTGCTGGAATGGATCTGATAATTTTTTATGCCTATCTGGAAATTCTGACGTACACATTTATGTCCTCAGAATATTTCAAAAACGGCACCTTCTTCTTTAATATTAGGCCAATTTCGGGTCTAGTTTGAGTTACTTTCAATTTTTGTTTGTCTTTTCCGTAAAAGAACTGTAAATTGGGGATACATCGGAGATTCAAGGTCATTGTCACAAGTTCACTCCAACCTAACGTGGGATATTCTCAGACAATAGAAGCTTCCAAAACCAAATTTCAATTTTCTCAAAATGCCCAATGATCTTTTTTGAGAAAGAATATCATGTTGTTAGTATACGCACTCAATCTCGCTAGACTATATATTTCAATGATGTGTAGGTATGAAAGGGGAGAGAGGGGCTCCTGGCCCAATGGGACCACCAGGTCAAAGGGGACTCACTGGCCCCAGAGGTAGGCCAGGAAAACCTGGCACGCACGGCACTCCGGGAATCCCCGGAATCACCGCCTGGAAGATCATGGATAAGCTCAATGCGTCGAGGTTCCTCATACCACCTTCCATAGCAGGTGAGCAGAAAGAAATTGTGCTTTCCTATTCCTCACTGTAGTTAGTTTAGACCGCTGAGTCACTTTGAGATCATAAGATATAATCCTTCTTGAATCGATGAAACTTTTTAGTTCAGTGACAATTGAGAGTTTCAAGACATATACGAATTTGCTATTCAAATAACCAATATTTTATGTTGAAAACGGGAGCAGATTCGGTCTCAAAACGTCTAAAGCTAAGTGAATTGAATTTGATATTTTTTCTATATACCTTTATTTCTCTTCTCCAAACCTTTTTCAATACAAATTGTTACTGGCAAACTGGTGAATTTTTCTTTCAGGCTCTCTGATATGAAAATACTTTAAACGCAGTGACATTTTGGGGCAAATCATCTGATTTGTCCTTACTATACGTATATTGAAATAATATTCATATTTTTATTTTATAGAAACGATGAGAGAAAATCCCAAAAAGTATGGAATAATGAACGCCATACAGTCTTCCGGTTGTCTCTAACTTGAGATTGTTTCAAATCATTTTGTTTTATTTTGCCTACTCAGAGATCTCCTGATGAGTATCTAGGTTTCTGGCAACTCACAGTAGTCTTCTAGTTTGATGATGAACGAATGACTGATATTCTACTAAGATTGAAATAAAATGTAAGCTACTCTATATTGCCTGGCGCTGAAATCAATGAGAAAAGTCATAATATGGATGCATTTATCATTTCACCTATTCACGTTTTTGTCCACAAGAATCAGTATGTACGAACACCTATGTATATGTATGGAGGGAATATTGAGTTTACTGTCATCGAATAATGAGTCACATCCTATATGGAAAGACCTCCCTCCTCCTCTTTTCCGGAGGGGTAGCTTTTCCGGAAAAACTCTCTATAATTTAATCATGTGAACGCCAGTACAACACCTCGAAGCCTCTGGCATTCGTTTCTTGTTGCGTCATAGGAGCACCTGCAATATTATATGGCCGCCATCAACACTAGAATTCCGTTGAAGCTGCTTGACATTTCTGACACCTCATTGATCAAGTCTTCGTGAAAGTTTAGCATGGTGGAAAATGTTTACTTCAACACAAGTGTTTTTGAATTGCATATACTGCAATAAATCACTTCGACCTTAATCACTTCTGATATACAGAGTGTTTCAAAATTCACTATGTGATCCAGGGATTCATTTTTCAGGTCGAAATAAGTTTTTTTTTCTATAAACATAATATGTCCGCAAACGCTTCGTTACCGAACTACAAAGCTCAGATTTCGAGATTTCTTCACACGATGAGGCATTCATTAACTTTCAGATAATGTCCTTGAGGGCTAACATTATTTTATTGTAGGGAAAAAAGGATTTGTGACATCAACGAATTATTCACTCTTGCTCTTCGTTGAATCAAATATATACAAGATCAATTCAAAGAAGCAGCTCGTTCGAATCAAAAATGTAGTTTGATTGAATCAAGAGTATAATTTTAATCCTTTCAATATCAATTCCATCAACAAAATATATGGTTTCCTCAAATACACATTATGTTAATCTAAAAATAATGTCGATGTTGATTCAACGACATACAGTTTGTAGATTTCACGAAATAATTATCATTTTGATAAGCACCTATATCTTTGAAACGACATAAGATTTTTTTTATTTGGTTCAATAGAGCAAAAGAATACATAATGTGAATGAACCATTTCTTTCATTAAACCTCAAGATATATCTTCGCCACTAGATGGCGATCTTTTCGCCTCGTCTATACCTGCCTAGAATTCATAATATACATAAATGAAGCCTGATTCTTCGTCTTTGGAATATCAGCTGGATACATGGAACTTAAGATGATGCTTAGCAAGCCTAAATAACCTGGTATCAACTGAAGAGTAGCAAAGAGTGGAGAAGTCGACTAGTGCACTAATTTCTTATTCCATCATTGGGAAATTTCAGTAAATTCCCGACCAATACTAAATTTGGTTTAACATAACAATATATCAAATTGAAATACAGTTTCAACGAACCATTTCATTAAATCAACAAAATATTTGATTGAATCACCTAAAAATTAGATTGAATCAAACAAAATGATTGATCCAATTAGATATCTCTTCACGAAGAACTCATGGATGTGTTTGAGTGAATGCGATTCAGAGTTCATGTGAGATATATTTACTTTATTCAAACTTCAAATTCGCTTCGAAACAAAACGAAGTTTTTTGCTACTGGAACGTGAGGTGAGGAGTAGATGCGTAAAAAACAGTTATGAAGAATGAACATCATCTTGAAGTTTTAACGCTCTGTAGATCGGTAACGAAGCGAAGTAAGAGTCTTATTTTCACCTGAAAAATAAACCCTTGAAATCTCGAGACTAAATTTTGAAACACCTTGTATTTCAATCCAGAGATAGGTATGTTTTTGTGACTTCTGGAAGCCATTGCCTCTTCATGAGTCCTGATCAAACAACTCAAATGTTTTCAAATTCAATAATAGCCTTTGCTGGACTTCTTCGAGCTCACGGAAAAGTCTTCAACAATCTCTCAATTGAAATATAACGGTGTCTTTTTTTTCATCCCCCAGATCCATTTCGTGTTCCTTTCCAGAGATGCGTGGTGATTTATTCCACTTACTCCTTCTGGAATACGAGCCCGTCAAACTGGATTTCTATTTATCTAGTAGGGAAGTAGGATTTATGTATTTAGCCATCAGTGAGGCATCGATAAAATCCCATATCGAGATGTCACCGACAAGTTCCAATTTGGCATTGTCGATCTAACTCAGCCCATCATCCAGAATTCTACATCACACGCGAGCACGTTTCAGATAGTCGGGCAAATGCCGGGAAATGATAGTCGATAAATATTATTTTCTACGTTGAAAAATGTGGGGATACAGCACGCGATGTTCAAATTTATTAGACTTCTCCGGTTCACTGAACATGAGATTCCACAATGATAAGCGTCTATTTTTTCTTCGTGATAAGTGAGATATACGAGGTGTCCCAGAACAACGTACCATAAAATCTTCAGGGTGATAGTCGATAAATACTCTATTCTCTCAAACAAGTCTCTCCATGTAGTGGTCGACGGAATTCCATCTCTATTGAAAAATATAGTGAAACCTTAGCCGTAGCATTTGATATCTTCAAGGTATTCGATCGAGTCTGGCACCACGGACTCCTCGCCAAGCTCCCATCTTATGGCTTACCTCCCCAGCCATATCCTCTGCTAGCTAGTTTTCTCTCAAATAGGTCTCTTCATGCAGTGGTCGACGGAGTTTCATCTGACTCTCTTATTATAAATGCTGGTATTACGCAAGGGTCAATTCTAGCATCAACACTATTTCTACTCCATATCAACGATTTGTTGGAAGCAACTTCATGTCCAATACACAGCTTCGCGGATGATAGTACCCTCCATACCACCTTCTCTCCCAGGACTCCAATACCAGCCAGGGAGATCAGGAACGAACGAGGGAGAAATGTTGACAACATTAATATGAACTTGGCAACAATTCTCGAATTGGGATCCAATAACTTGGTATATTTCAATGCAAACAAAACACAAGCACGCCTTTTCTCTAGAAAAGCCGATCTCACTGTGGCCAACATAAGCTTCTCAGGAGTAACCATACCATTGAAGACATCCATTTCGATGCTTGGTATTACTATCAGTAATAACCTTTCTTGGGATCAATTGCTGAAAGTGCATCCCAAAAACTTGGTTTTCTGTTTCGGGCCAGGAGCTATTTCACTTCCAGTCATCTGCTTATGATCTATAAGGCACAGATTCGACCTGTCCTGGAATACTGTTTCCATATTTGGAGTGCAGCACCCAAACATACCCTGAAACTGTTGGATTCTGTCCAAAAAGAGCAATTCGTCTCGTGGGTGATGCCTCGCTCACAAACTCACTCACTTCTCTGGAACACCGTAAAAAATTCGGCGATCTGGCTCTATTTTATAGATATCTTCATGGACGATGCCCTTCTGAAATATCAACAATTATTCCTCTCTTAGCAGTCCCCGCGAGATTAACCCGTCGAGTTGAGGCTTCGCACCCCTTCGTGGTCACTTTGGAGACCTGCAGACCATCTCTTCCCAAACACTCGTTCATCCAACGAACTACGAGGCTCTGGAATACATTGCCAAGCGAGGTGTTTCCGAGGCATATAACCTCCAGAAATTCAAGAAGAACAACAATTCCTACTTTATTTCCCTTGGTTCTCACGATGTTCCCTGAACATAACAGGATATTCCTTTTCGTGGGAACCCGAACATGAAAAAAAAATTCTACGTTGAATAATGTGGGGATACATCCCGTTGTTCAAATTTATTAGACCTCCGGTTCATTGAACATGAGATTCCACAATAAAAAATTGATGAGCGTCTATTTTTTCTCCGTTATAGGTGAGATATACAAGGTGTCCCAGAACAACGTACCATAAATTTCACAGAGTGATAGTCGATTGGACCATATTGAGGAAACTCGTCCGCCATATTGGATTCGCCATCTTTAATTGTCTGATTTTGACGAAGGAATCATAATCTCAGACCCCAAAAACCCCCAGGTATCAATTTTGAATAGTATTGGATCATAATTACAAAACTCGTCCGCCATCCTGAATTTCAGAATTCTGATGAAAGCATCATAATCTCCGACCACGAAATACCCCAGATACAAATTTTGATTGTAATCGGATCATAATTAAAAAACTAGTCCGCCATATTGGATCTGTCATTTTGAATTCCCAAATTTTGACGAAAAAAATAAATAAATGAATAGATTGAAAGGTATCAAGAATGAGTAGTGGGCTTGGGTTGATTCTAGGCCTCTCAAGAAAGCGATGGACCTTGAGGAAGTAGTTTCAGAGATGAACCTAGAACCAGCCTGATGAAATGTTCCTACTGAATGAATAAATATATGGCGGCTAATTCAAGATCATAGCGATTCCAATTATCAAATTACACTTTGAGTTCGTGTTCATTCTCAGGATTCATTGTGACATATAAAAAATACGATAAATGAATGAAATGATGATGTGATCTTCTTCTCATGAAGAAAATACATCAATATTTACGTCACGTCATACGTTATAATATTAGGCAGGTGTCATATTGCCTCCAATATTAACCAATCACAGCGAAGATCAACGCTTCCCTATGATTTCCAGTACTGTCTCTTAAGTTGGAACGGACCTTAGTGTCATCTTAGGAGGTTTCACCATCTCTACTGATTTGTTCATTCAAGTGAATTGTCACACGGCCATATTTTTATTCCGCATAGATTATTCGAACACGAAAATGTGCTTCTCCATGTATTTCTACTTCGCAGCTGAAGCTGCAAATTGAAGGAAATTCAAGCGAAGGAAAGCTAATAGTGTAATACTAGCGTCGAGAACCACATTAATATTTTGCGGCGTTTGATGCATATTAAAACCTGCATTTGACAGGCAAAATGAATTAAGGCCACATAAAGGACGATCGGTTATCGAAATCGAATAATTGGATTAGCTAAACTCGAAATATTTCGAGCAGCATACTGCAGGGAAAATTTATGAAGTTAATATTCGCGGAAAATTATTACAATGTATCCAATACCTACCCATAGTTCTGATGGACCTCGGATACAATATTAGTTTTCATGATACTTCTTACGAAATGATTGATATCGTTGCACGCAATCTTTCCAAGAAATTATCAAGATATATGGAAGCTCACAGTTTCCAATACCAACAATGAATAATCAAGAACGGGCTTCATGCTACGCAGAATGACGCAGTACGGACGCAAACATCTTATTTGTTCACGCAATACATTATTCAGGGATTCTTTTCAGCTTCTTCTTATTCCTGACGCCACTTAGCCGTTTGTGAATCGCTAATCTATGCAGGACTACGAGACATTCTTGTTGAAAAGGGCCCTGCTTTTATAGAGGTTCTTTGGGAAATGCCGGTTATCTTGGAACATCGACTCTAAGAGGAATCTTTTTTTCTGGGTGTGATGCGAAATAATTACTGAAATGGGAACATGGGAAATGCCGGTTATCTTGGAACTCGACTGTTAGTGGAATCTTTTTTTTTTTTCAGAGTGTGATGCGAAATAATTACTGATCCTATGTATTCGTAGAGATTGAACTGAGAGTGGTTCAAGTATAAAAATAATAACTTTTCCATACAACTGTTCTGAAGGTATTTTTGGGACATCACGACTCAATCACTATCAAGCAATTGAAATAATTGATCAGTTTTAATCTTCTTCTGAAGATGCTAACATAGTTAGCGAAACAGGCGGTAAAAAAACGGTTTGGTTAGTGGTAGAACAGTGTAGTGTGGAACAGATGGAATTTGTTAGGTATGGTCATGCGAGACTTGTTTGAGAGTTACATACATTTCAATGTCCTGTTATTTAGTAGTGTAGGTATAGTAATCTCCGGATGAAACTATTTTCATGTTGAAATACGAACACAAGTAGAGGTACTATGAGAGTTCAGGCGCATTTTGACCTAGAACACTTTATGTGAATGGGATCTGGTTTTAAATATATGTCATATAAGTGGAGTTACATATCAAACGATTCCTGAAATGATCCTTCATGAAGAGCCATAGAATGATCCATGAATAATTCTCATTCCATGTACATGAGCTGTTTTTCTGAGAGTACTATATACTGGCCGATAATGACAAATGGCAACGTTTTTTCAATGTTTGCAACTTTCAAGTCATGATTCTCATTGGTTTTCAACATGTCCTAGACAAATATCAATTCGTTTTCTCTCTCGTCTGTCTGTCCGATTTCTTCGGAGCAAATCAGCGGACTCAACTTTCCGATCCTATTCATTTTCCTAACCACCCCCAGCATCTCGGATTACGTCTATTTGTCACTCGTTCATTGTTACAGGGTCCCATTCGGGTCCCATGGGTCCGTATATCGTTCGCGAGGGCGACCACGTCCGCCTGCCATGTTCGGTCACCGGAGTTCCGACCCCTCATGTCACGTGGCAGAGAATGGACAACAGGGCAATCAACAGGGGAGCTTGGCAAGGTAAACTCTTTATTTCGAAAATAATCGGTATCTATCCACCTGACAAAAATACGGCTCGAAGGACCAATCACGAGTTGAATCGCGTGTGATCGAGATGGTATATAATTTTGTCGTTGTTTCAGATCTCCAGGTGACTGGCCCTGCACTGAATTTGACCCAGATCAACCGGGATCACATGGGAACTTACATGTGTATAGCGGATAATGGAGTTCCGCCGCAGGCTAACCAGACGTTTTTAGTGGAAGTTCATTGTGAGTACACATCGACTTCTTCTGGAAATTTGAATTCATCAGGCAGTAGATGTAGATCCGTAGGAAATCTATCTGTAGGCGATAAAACAAAATTGATATAACACAAACAACGTGAGCCAACATACACAGTCTGTTTACGAAATCATCTTTATCACAAATAACTAGTATAACTGTAGGCGTACCCATTCTATAAAATGCCATATTATACGTTGCATTTTAAATTTACTATTATATTCAGTATCTTCTACATGCTCTCCGAATGAATCACTTGCACACCGAGGAGTATGTTTTGCCTATATACATGATTTGTATTACTTTATGACAGGTTTATTGCCATTAATGAAACCCGAACACGACTTTCATCGTTCTGTTGGTCTTGTAACGACGTACTAAAATGTTACAAAATCATGATTTATTATCTCGTATTTACTACAAAGTTAATAGAGTCTGATATAATGACAATGTAATCCACAGCTTGGGAATATTCAGCGCTTACTTATTGTTATTTGATAATTTGTTGATTCACCCCCTTCCCCCTTTGAACATTTGACAGACAGCTTGCGTCCCAAAAACATGTCAATTCATATATTCAGTAGCCCAGTTCTACTGTGGGTGCAAACTCATTTACAGGATGAAATTTCGGATGAGAACATTTTTATTCATATGGAAAAAACCTCCATCGCCCCTTTCAATGTTCGTAGATTTGATTTCATGAACAGTTATCACCAGTAGTGATGAAGTGATGAAAGTGAGTTTTTCAAGGTGTATTGACAGAAAAATATAACGACTCCAGATTTAACATTTTTGGTGATACCCTGTGTCATGTTACCTTTCATCATAACAACAATTCAGGAAGACAAGCTCACCCACTTAACTTAGCAAAGTTCTCCACCTATGATTCTAATAATGACCTACTCATATAAATAGATCAAAGTCAGACATCTACTTCAGAAAAATTGTCTAATAGCCATAAATAGATACACTCGGCTCTACTCGCTATAGTGGTAGCTAAGTTTCAAGTTATTCGTACATTTTTTATAATCTCACGAGAGTTCTAATCAGCAAATTAGACTTCATAATTACATGCCATTAGTAATTCTGGCTGAGGAAATTCGATTGCTAACTAAAGTTATAGAAATGTTTCTCAGATTAGGAATATTTTCGAGGATATTTTCGGAAATATTGTTCAAGATTTCTCTCTGTCAATATCGCATCTTCAACATTGAGATAAATAAAGTACATGTATGATCTCATTCCTGATGACTTTTTCTACATCGTGGAGTATATTGTTCTGGATGATTTATTTTTTGATCATATTGATGATGATTACTATGGCGTTTTGAATTTTCACCTATTCTTTGCTTTTGGCTGTTGTTAGATGGCCACCAGTGATGATGAAACTCTTGTTGAGTGAATTTTGTTTTATACAATTTCGAATCTCAATTTCCTGCTCTTACCGATGTTGAATTGCATTATTGATTCGTTCTTTTGACTGTTCAGTCAATTCGAAGAACAATAAGCCTAAATACCTGACTGATTTGTTATTTCATAATCTTTACAGGTGTTTTATGTAATGTCTGAAGATGGCCGTTGAACCGAAACTAATTAGACAAACTTGATTTTTTAATATTATTCTTGTGGTCCTTGAGAACATTTTGGACCACTTTGGGAAGGATGTGGATGGTTTCCATGACTGAAATATTATTATTTCAGTGAAAATGCCTTGAATGAACTCACCTTCATCATTCCACCAATTCTGGAACTACCTGGTACACTTAGGAGACACTGACAGGGACTCAGAAGATTATTTTATTCATTTGAAAATGTTTCGTAACTGTCGTGTTGTCAAGATTTTTGTCCTGTAGATGGGTTTGCATCAACACCCTAACTGGCAATGATTCAACATATCTTTGGGGCAAAAGGTGTCCGACAAATGCTCACAGAGGGGAGCAAATCAGCAAAATATCGAATAATGATAAGAATGCACGGAATAACCTGGAGCCAGTTCTATTGTTAGTTATATTGCTGTCTCAGTGTGGCTCCCTGATGACAGCAGTGGCAGAAAACCTTCAAACCTTGGCATGAAATCAACTCTCAGCACAATTTTTATTGGTATCATAGGATATCAATGGCATCGTCCACCAATATTCTAATTCAATGGGCTGCTTCTATTAAAACAATTGTAATAATAATGGTACTGAGAAATATCCTAGCAAAAACTCCAATAGACCAATTTTCCTTAGTGTAACAACTCGAAAACCCTAGATAACGATGTTTTTATTCTGAATCAAATTGAAACTATTGCTATACGTGGATATGCCAATAAGCCACACTCCTCACGAGCTTCCCAAATCACCGACAATATTTGAAATCAATCACCCTCCATTCTGACAAGTTTTTCTGCTGTAGTTCCTCCGCTCATAAGGATCTCTAACCAACTGGTGGGGGTGGCTAATGGGTCGGCGGCAGTGCTTGAATGCGAAACGGAAGCTTTTCCCGAACCCCTGAGGTGAGTCTATCCATCACTTTTTATGGCTGAGCGATGGGAATAAAGTGAATGCGGAGTTTTTTCCTGATAGTCCAAGAGCCGGGTGCAAATTTAGACCGTTATCTGATAACGAATTGTCACTATCCTGCACAGAATGATTGAAAGCTTGCACTTTCCTGTGAGATGATTTGCACTCGATTTCGAGATTTGATAACGATATGGGAATTATGCCAATTGAAAGGTATATCTCAAAAACCTACCTGTGTATCCCCTTAATCCGAATCTGCTATTATTCCGGATATACTTAGCGACTTGAAACAAGAAGCGAATGGAAGGAGATGTCCCCTTAGCGAATATCCAAACGTGTCGCGAGTCAAACTGATCTAAGTTAGTAGTTGACGGAAAAAAATTTCGGCATACGATCTAGGTGAGCCGAAGATGACATATAGGTAGATATATCGACTTGACCTTATCTACCCATTACTCTCGACTGGATGGTGGAAGAAATCAAAAATAAAGTTCTTCAAATACATGTTTTTTGTTATTTTTATCACAAGAGAACAATTTAATCGTGGAAAGATGAAAAAAATCTAGAATTGATTCGAGTCTAAGCAACAACAACAACCACCAATCATTTTCCAAACAAGCTATTATGAATTTATGAATTTGTATCTGAATAGGTACAAAAATAATAAGATATTTATGAAAAAAAAATTTTGGTGTAACCTTGTAGAAGTTTTTCAAAATTGGATAATGAATAGCGACGCTATGGTTTGACGCGTTTTTTGTCAGGCAGTCATAATCTACCAGAAAAATTGAATTACAATTTAGGTCAACTGATACCTCATAATCATTGAAATATGGTCATGATCTCGTACATAATAAAATTCAACGTCAATATGGATTGTTTCAAATAGGTAATCGAAATGCGAGGAAGGATGTATGAGTTGAATCTAAAATAGTATAGGTTGTTTTATTAGGATCGAAAGTGACACTTCGTTTGACAAGCAAATTCCGCATTTGCGAAGCCGAGTGAAAACAAAATTTGCGAGTCAAACAATGCCACTTTTGATTCGAATGAAACATGCATTTTTTTTGCTTCCGAAAGAATGAACTGAAATAAATATGTGAAGTAACCACCAATGTGACTTTCTGGACGGATTATTATAATAATATATGTAAGTAGAGAGAAGCAAGCCCTAAAAATGTTGCCTAGCAACAAACCTATGTTTGTGTCAGTAATAGAAACGTCAATTGAAGAAGTAATTTTATTATTGAAATTATATATATTATCAAAATCCCTGTTACCATATGATGGTGTAGGGTAATTATTATTGAAATTGCCATGTCAAAATTCCAAATTAGGCGAATCTCTGACCCCGAAAATCCCCAGATACCAATTTTGAATAAAATCGGATTACAAAAAAACTCGTTCACCATATTGGATCAGCCATATTGAATTTTCTCAATTCAAAAAATAGCTTACCTACCGAATCGAACCGTTTCGGAGGAGTTCGCGTCAAACACCCTGACAGGGACAGGAGAATTTCAATTCGAACATTGAAAAACAATCTCTATTTCACAATGCAATAATTTTACACAATTCATTACCAGATGAGTTGAAAAATATACATGATGCAAAAAGGTTCAAAATGAATCTTAAGAAATACTTGCTCAGGACAATTTGAATGAAAAATATGTGGCATGATTTGATTACTCAGAAATAAAATGTTATAACTTTCATCTTATGCAATAATATTAATTCGTTTCCGCTGAGAGGATTTTATTAATTACCGTTTATAATATTTTTTATGTATCCATGTAACCCTATTATATATATATATATATATATATATATATATAAACAGAAATGTTTCTTGGGGGTAATGAAGACAATCAATCAATCGATATATTAGATAGCCTATGAAAATAGCATAACTATGCCACAATTTCAAGAATATATTCTTCTCTTCAGAGTACATTTCATAAGTATAAATAATGTATGTTTACCAAATGAAGAACACGTACCACGAATTCATATGAACTAATGAAAATTGCGGTAGCGGTTGTTGAAGCTATAGGAAATTGATCTAAATACGACAACAAATGGAAATGGAAACTCCCATCAAATTTGGGTTTAGCCGCAAACAATAAACTTTTCTTCCATTCATCATGGATTACTCCCGCTAAATTCTTTATAAAACTCCTATAATTTGTTCGCGACGGATACTGCTCTTGGGAAATCATCGCCTGATTGATAATCATCTTTGTCCTTATATTGTTAGTAATGGAAATACATTTCCTACACAGTAAACATAGAAAATATACTTATATAATGATTGAAAAGGAATATACTGAGATAAAATTATGAATATAAAAAAAATGGAGATATATATGAAGAAATGCATTGAGAATTCGCATTCACTATCTCTATGTGATGAGAATATCGATTCTTTCTCGGTTTATTCAACAGAAAACAACTACTTTCCTGGCCATATGCCACGGCGAACATTCTTTTAAACACACACGATAAGAATTTGAAAATAAAATCTTCTGAAGTAAAAAATTTGCATTCACCTTCATATGAAGTTATGTATATGCAAATAATATCATTCTGAATATTCAACTGAAAACAGCTACTATTTGCCACGTCAACATTGAATCATATCTGTTGAACACCCAAAAAGATAGCATGAAAAATGAAAATCCTCTAAAATTGCGAATTGACAACTCTCAAATCGGATAAAATAATATGATGTATTATGATATAAAAATATACCTAACATGTTCAGTATTGAAATGAAGATTGAAATGTATAGGAGAAGTATACTTGTATTAACTCTGATCTTGATGAGCTTGGAATTTACAAAAAAAAAAATCATTCGTATCAGTGATATGGGAATTATATCTCCTAGTCTTTTAGCCATTCTTCATGATGTACATAATTTTCATCTCCCTATAATATAACTAAAACTATAACGAACTGGCATCTGAGAATTATGATTTGTTCACATACTCCTGTCATCTGGGTGCATTTATTTATATAATGATGTTTTCAACACAGAAAAGAGTGTGAGTACTTCAATTGGGTGATCTTAGCTCCACATCTTCTTCATAACCAAATTTAATATTGAAACCGTACGAGTCTAACAAAATGCATAACACGCATCGACCTGTAATTCACATTCGCCCTTACATTCATTTGAATAACGAAATTGGCGAAGAGGGAAATTCATACTGAACCAGGATTCACATTCATATACAGGGCGATTCAAAAGTGAGCGGCATGCTGTTGGAGCTGTAACGCTTGCATAAAAATTAGGAAAAAAGTTCCAATTAATATGTGTCCGAAATTGCTTTCTGAGGGATCTACGCCCCCTTGAATCGGACATCTTGGAGACGATTTTTTCTCTGTAACTTTGAAACCCTTCATAATTGAATTTTGTAAATTGGTGTACGGTATAAACATTCGATGGTAAATGAGATTATGAATTCAAAATTTCAAAATGTCATCCAGGGCCGTCACATGCGGGAAGGGTATGGGTAAAAACTTTCTTTTTTTTTATTTGTATGTAAAAGTGATTTTGTCAGCAAATTATGAAATTCTAGATCCTCCATGTGAAAAACACACTCTTAGTTTGATTCAATGAAGGTTTTTTTGAAATGACTCGGCCGTTACTTGATGGAAATCCATAGAAAACGTAAAAACTCCACAAAAAATCATATTTACACAAAATTCTTAGTCACACGACATGTTTCGCCAGTGTTGCCGACAGTTAAAATTTTAAATCACCATATCTGTGGAGTAAAAATCACCAGATTTGAAAAATTATCACCAGATTCCACAAATTTTGAAACATATTAGAAAAAATTGAAAACTATGGAATCAAACATAGTATACTTATTCGAATATGTTCTCATTTTCAAACAAAAGGTTGAAATCAACATTTTCCCAAGTCGAAGGCAACTCAGCCGAAGGTATTATAATACCAATCGAAATAAAAAGGAACATGAAGCTACATTTCAGTTCATAAGTATTTTTGAGATTTGAATTTTTATTCATCAAATTATCCCAAATTTCATAATTGAATCTCCTATTGTACTGAGGAAAATCATCACCGCTATCCTCATCGACCTCATCCATCGTTTTTCTGTTTCAATTTTTGTTGGATTTTGATTATTTCGAATGACGTTAAAAAATCTTGTCTTACAGCAAGTTTCATTGGACGAAACTGTTGTGTACTGGTGTTGTATCGAACGGCGGTGTGAATATACATGCACTTGATGTAGAAACAATTTGTACCCAATCCTTCCAATGTCGATGATTGTTAGATCTGAATTGGGTGGTTTCACTCTGGAGAATAACCAAATTTCACAGTTTGATTGATAATATTCACCAAATCAGCAAATTGGCAAATAAATCACCAACGTTCACAACATTGTGTTTCGCTAACACAGTAGCTTCGTCATGTGAATTATTGGTACAATGAAATAAACTAACCTTGGCTTGCCTAAACTTATATAGATCCTACTTTCCCAACGTGAAGGATAAGAATTGCCTGTGAAACGGTTCGTTGAGCCTTCATTTTCGAAAAATAAACACAATATCTACATTAAAATACAGTGTAACGGATTAACTTGAAAGGGATGATAGCAAATACATATTATCACCTATTAAGAAAGAAGAAAGAAGAAAAATTTGTTTTCTTAGTACGTAATAATATGTATTTGCTATCAACCCTTCCAAGTTAATCCGTTACACCTTATTTTAATGTCGTGTCGTGTGACTATGAATTTTGTGGAAATAAATATGATCGTTTGTTAAGTTTTTACAAATTAATAAAGCGTACCGTTTACAAGAAAATCGACCATAAGAAAAATCCTTTCCAACTAACATTTTATATATAACTTTTCAGACTTCAGAATCTGATGTACCCTCAACTGTTTATACCGTATACCATATTTCAAAATTCAATATTGAAGAGAAAAAATTCGGACCCATACTGATGGGAACGTTTTGCCGTATTTTTATGCAATAAGGATTATGCCTCCGAAAGGATACCGCTCACTTTTGAACCACCCTCTATATCACATAGAATACTATATGAAGAACATCGGAAACAAAATCTCTAAAGGCAATATTATGCTAGTAACCATGCCACGTTTCGTGCGCAATATTATAATATTAATGAATCCTCATTCAGATACTGGGAACGTTCTGACGGAAGCCTGTTGGAAAACGGGGACAAATACAGGATCGACAACACTCTGGAAAGAAACGGATACAGATCGACAATGCAGCTGAACATAACTCGAGTGACGCAGTCTGATCTCAACTACAGATATTACTGTATCAGCAAAAACGAGTTACAGACCACAAGAGGCGAGTTCAAAATGAACGGTAAGTTACTTGACATGGCTCCCTCAATCTTGGACACTCGTGATAAGGAATATATTGTGAACGAGGTGGTTTCTGATATGACATTAAGCTATCTTGAATACTAGTTTATTAACCTGTCTTGAAATGACCTCATTTGATATATTTCTGATTGCCATCAAAGAGTACTTCTATCCGAACTACACCTTTTTCAGATGAATTTCATGAAGCGTCAATTGTAATTCAGATTTCTCAAATGGAATTCAGAAAAAGTCAGTTGTAATTCGGGTTAGTCAATTGAAATTCAGAAAATATCAATTGTAATTCAGATTAGTCAACTGAAATTTAGAAAATATCAGTTGTAATTCAGATTTTCCAATTGAAATTCAGAATGCATCAATTTAAATTCAGATATCGTCATTCGTAATTCAGACTACGTAATCTGTAATTCAGATAAGTTACTTGAAATTCAGAAAGAATCAATTGAAATTCAGATTAGTCAAGTGAAATTCAGCAAACTTCAATTGTATTTCAGATTTGTCAAATGAAATTCAAAAAGCATCAATAGAATTCCAGATATCGTCAATTGTAATTTAGATTAGTTAATTGGAATTCAGACAGTAGTTGTTGTTCACCTCGAAATCTAATAAGTGATTATATTTTGTGGGATACAACAACACAAGTTTGTTTTTATCAAACTCATTCATAATATAATAACTACATATAAGCGAGTAATGTATGGAAACGAACAATATTGGGATTGAATTAAGACATAGCAGGTAAAAATAAAAAATATCCATCATTCAGCGACCTACGGGCATATTTTCTAAAGTCAAAGCAGCAGCATGGTGAATCGTGGTATGCTGTGCTGCTCGAGCACAGTCTCCTCCAACAAATCATACAGTTGTCTTTGAAGTTCATTCTATGGGATGATGTATAATTATTTGAAGTTAGAATATTCGTTTCCAGGACAATAGGATATACACAGTAGGTAGGTACTTGTGATAATGGTGGATTGTAGGTAGGTATGCATGCAAAGGTAACACTGTTCCATATTTCTGTTATGTTCTGGTTCCCACGGAAAGGGATATCCTGTAATGTTCAGAGAACCAAGGGAAATGATGTAGGAATTGGTGTTCTTCTCAAATTTCTAGAGGTTATGTGCCTCGGAGAACATCTCCCTTAGCAATGTGCTCCAGAGACTTGCTTCTATGAACTACACCACTCCATTTTGAGTTACCATGGACTTCTCCCAAAGATTTTCATGTTTGTCATGAAATACTCGACAATCCAGCTTCCAGTCGTTTTCTTGCCATCAAATTATTAGCTTGTCGATTGCTCCAGCGGTAATCACAGTTCTGGCAATCAAAGCAACTTGCAAAGCAGGACGAGATTTTAACTAAACAAAAACACCCGAGCGGTGTAGCAACCGTTAAAGCTATTTGCAGATCCCCGTCGAGCAGGATAGAGTTCCCAGATGGACGGCTAAGTGGAAAGTAAATATTGTTCTGCGAGTTACGCGAGTTACGCGAGTTCAAAAGTGAGATTGGGTTGGGTTGGGTCGGGTCAGGGTGGTCGGCAGGGGCGTCCACAGAAATAATTTCAAGAGGGGCAAGTCACAATAATAATGCACAATATTCGGTACATATACAAAAAAGGGTTTTTGCCCGACTTGTATATGTATAATAAGAGATTCAATGCACTTCAAGGATTTTAAGGGTATCTTCATTCCCTATTTTCGGGAAAAAAGTGGTAGGTACTTTGGAACCCTTGATCTGATCATGATCTGGATCACCATAGTTTTTGAGATCGTTGATATAGTAACAATCAGCTCCTCCGATGATGTTTTAGAAATAGAGTAACTACCGTTCAGTAGCATTTGAATTTTTCTTCGTTATTTTTTCTTTAACGTTTTACCCATCCTGAAGTGCATAGAATAGTATAAACACCTCGGGACCAAAGTGTTTCTAAATCCCTCGACCAATTATAGCCCTCCCGTTGGCCGGGCTATGAACTTTTTGTCTAGGGATTTATAATATCACTTTATTCTCTAGGTGTATAATGTACTATTATACCTCCAATAGCGGGAGTACCGGGCACAGAGTGTACTCTCTAGGCTAACACATTTTCCGGAATTTTTCTGGCAATGAATCTACCATTATGTTTGCAGTAGCTTCTTTAAAGCGATATGTCCACTCTTCTTTATCGGTCGTCATAATAATCAAGCTTTATTATGTATCCAGATTTTAATTATTGTAAATTAGAAATTTCATATCGACAATTATTGATTTTTTGCACGATATGGCGTGAAGTAGCAGTTAACCTACCGGTTTTGCGGCCGTGAAGTGATACTTTACGGCCCGCGAACTTTTTACCACCTGGTAAATATGTAACTCGTAATGGGCATTCCTATTCAATTCAAGATTTTCATGTTTCAGTTGTGATGGTTCCTCATCTAATATTACAGTTTTCTTGATATTTCTGAGATGCAATATGACATGATCGAACCCAAAATAATGTATCTGTGATGACATCAATTGAAAGAGAATATAATAGTCCACTCCTTATTCAAAAAGTTGACTGATTTACCATGGTAACGTCGATTTCATCAATGATATTCCACACTGCAGCTATGATGTATTTACAATTAAAAATTGAATATACCAGTCGTGCATAAAATGTTGTATGTATTTCGGGCGTTACTGGCTTTTATGGATCTAGGCGTGTTGATAGCCGTCGCAATCGCTCGTGCTCTTACATATACGCTGAGATCCATAAAAGCCCATTTTACGCCCTTCTTACATGAATAACAATTATAATAAGATTCTTTTATCAATTAAAATCGTTGGGTCGTGCGAAGAAAGCGATATACACCTCGGAAGTCAGTATATACACCCCGCAAAAGCCCCCCTCCCCCTTCCTTGTGGAAGCCTCTGGTGGTCGGGGTTGGGTTTCTTGTTTCAACAAGCCCAGAGACTTCATCCTCCACTTTATGTATCAAGGAATGAAATTTTTAGGGTATGCGGGAAAAAGATTATTTTATAATAGGCAGTAATCTCAAAACGGAAGGAAATTGGGTCCTTCGAAGTTGTGTAACCAAACACAGAAGATGTTTGCATCTGGAGTATTTCTCAACAATGTGAGATTCACAAACAACTTGAAGAGATAGGGATACGTATAAACGTTAATCGGAGCGAAAGAGAGTATCGTTTCAGGAATCTATCAAAGTTCAGAATGCTTCTCATTTTCAAACAATAAAAGCTGTCATACCTTGAAAATGAAAAACTGTTATCATGTGCTATAACTAGCAATATATCTTACGCTCAAGTTCGATTCACAATGGGTAAATCCGCATTATCGAGTATATACTCCTGAATTGGCAATTTCTCTGCTGCTATAGAAGCCGTTTGATCTGAATCTGAATAGGAACTCTTGAATTCAAACTAAATGAAATTCAATTCAGTATATATACCTTAGAAAATCCTATCGCATTCTCACCATTTCTCACTGCTATTTAATATGGTGTTCCACAAGTAACTGTTCTGGAACCGGTGCTTCTCAATATATATTTGAATGATCTATTCAAATAAGAGCTAGATGGAGATATAGTAACTTTCGCTGATGGCAATCGGCACTCCTGTTCACAATTCAAAGTTAGAATAAAAAAGTTGAAAAGCCAGGGATATGAATTCCCCAACTAATCCACAGTAGTAACATATCGAAATACATTAACCTAGTAAAATGACAATTCCATCTTCTAGAAATTGACCCTAAGATACCTCAATCTTCCCGCATCTATGTCGAACGTGGTAAAGAAACCGTCTTCGGCGTCCTGCCTCCCGATAAGGTCTCCCTCGAGGACCTATGTGGACCCCCCATCCAGTGTCCGGAGTGCGATAAAGATCCAGAGCCAATCAAATGTCCCCCTACTCCCAGCGGAGTGTCATTGGTAGATCTGATTAGCAGATGGGAAGTGAAGCCCTTCAACGAAAACGTTACATATGAAGGGTACCCGAACAGATCGAAAGGTGAGTGTGATTAAACATGGAAATTGAATCGCAGCTTCCACCCAGGCAACCAGATGACGAATGATCACGTCACTGTGACGTCCCTGATAGGGGATTTTTCGTCAGAGACGTCACACAACAATTTATGACGTCACTATGACGTACTTTCTATGACGTGATAATCACGTCATCATCTCGACATCGAGTGAATGTCACTCAGAAGGGTAAAATAAGACGTCAGTTTCATGACGTTACAGGGACGTCCTGTCGGCGTCCATGTTTCCAGACCATATCTAAACCATGTATACTTACATCATGTGAAACCGTTAGGTTTGTGACGTGCCTATATATAAATATACAGGATGGGAATTTTCAGTGTCGAAACATTTTTAGAAAAAACGATTTTTCATAAATTTTACACACATATATTGAAACATGTACGACTTGGTAATTTTATATATATGCTTCTAACGTCGATAGAACTATAACTCAATAAAACAAATCAACATGCAAATTTTATTGGAATTATATATACCCAAAAAGTTAGAGAAAACTTTTAAGAATGATAATATAGGTGTACCTTTATTGAAACCATCACTTTTGTGACGTTGCAGTGACGTATCTATGACTTCTAAAAATCACGTCGGTGTGACGTACCGAATTGGTGAGCTTCGTCATTCAGAAAATTTTTCAAAAATTGGCTATTTAGATTTTTGTTGGGTGACAAATAATGCATGAATATACGTTACTCAACAAAGTGAACCTCCTTTTGATTGATATCAAACTATTCTTGGTTTGCTTACATCTCGCCGACAGAAAATGCATAATTTTTGAAACAAATATGAGTAATTGATTTTATTCTGATGACGATGCGTACTGAGGAATAGCGCTGCTGAATAGACGATTGAATAAACATGACACCAGAGGAACCACCAAGTAGACTCAACAATGCATAATCAATATCATATGTCATCAGAGATCAGCGGTGATCACGCCATGTTCGAGGAAACTTTTGTACTTGTCATCACCTGATTTGAACGTCATTTCGACGTCAGTCCGACGTCACAGCTTAGTGATTGAATGACGTCAGTAAAAGTGAGTAATATGACGTCATTGAGCTGCGACTTTTTCACGTCATTTATCACGTCATACGACGTCAACTCCTGACGTCATCTCGGTCATTCAATTGACGTAAAAAGACGTCACTGAAACGTCATCTGGTTGCCTGGGTAATAACGTTATTTGATGGATCCAACCTTCTAGCGAAATGACTATGAACTTTTCTCATAATAACTTTCGTAACTTCTCTCCTTTCATCCAGCCCATTATTTTCGTTATTCAATAAGCCCTTGCTTCTACCGTATGCCTCTTAATTTCCACAAACGGCCTCATATCGGACTTCCAATAACTCCTCGATCGATAAGCTATTATGGATGTGAAATAAATCAGAAAATATAAGATGAAGGATAAAGGAGACAACGTATACGTCTGTTGGATGGTAAAGTATAAGGAAAATCCAATCATTTTTTGTTAAAGGAATCCAGCTTAAACGGATATATATCTTCTCAGATATTTTGTTGAGGGAATACAGAAAAAATGTACTCACTCCCGGCTATTTATTCACCATCAACAAGACAAAAAGTAGACTCCTTCCTAATGGTATGAAATTTCGATAAACACTTTCAGTTTGACCCAGTAAACGCGGTCTAATATAAGAACCTCCACAACAGCCATTATTCAATTTCATATGGGATGATTATATCGTATTGTATTGTATGCATAAGGAATGTATTGTAAACTATAAGACCTATTGCCCCCCCCTGGTTTTGCTATACCTGATGAGGTTGATCTTCTTAGCTATTGTAATTTTGTCTAGTGCAATATCCCTTAAGAATTTCAGGATATCAGGTGGTTCTCATCTGAGTCGAACATCTTAAGAACAACGTTCATTTCTGCCTAGGGTGACATTATTCGTTCATTCTTTTATGGTTATTTGTACAGTATCTTTACCTGTCTGAAACCTTGACGATTTTCTCAGATATCTGATCTCTCTGTTTTGCTTCTTCTTTGTTAATTTCTTCTGATACTGCTACTGATACTGCAAAAGGCTTCTGGCTCCACTAAGGGTGTTTGAGCTCATTTCCAAGCGAGTTTGTATTCTACTTAGTTTCCTTCTTTTCCTGAATGTCATGGAACCCATAGAGATTGCATGTATTTCTGTTCGCTAACTTGTCATTCATCTCCGGCGATACAAAACCGACTCATCACATCTTCTATCATGTGGTTTTTCAATATACTGAAAGGCAAGAATTGATAGGGGATGCTCAATACGAGCAATATTTCACAAAATCTTACGATTTTCTGGAACCATTTAATAGTTCCAGTCATAATTCATGTTGGAACGAATACCTTGGACGTGCCTGGCATTCCCAATTCTGTTTCGTCATCCGATTCCTATTATTTTCTGCAGTTATGGGCGACAGGTCGAGAAGGTATCCCCGTTTTACAGTTCGATGAGTCTGTGGATCATCGAATCGTGAAAGGAATCCAGATATTGAGAAGCTTCAAGCGTGATATTAGGGCCAGGCAATACAAGATAGGAAGATAATGAAATGTGACCGATCAATCTGTTTTTGTTGGCTAGCTCATTCAGTTTTTCCCGTCATTCCCAAACCATTTCAGAGCTAGCTCATAGAGCTCAGCGCTTTAATGGCTGCTTGGCTATCGGAGATTATGATACCTCGACTTCCATCTCGGGTGATGAAGAACCGACTCTTCTCATCCACTATCATGTGGTTTCTGGATATACTAGAAGGAAAGATTCAATATGGAATGTGAAGTGTTCTCATTCACATTAAAAGCAATATATCACGCAAACGTACGATTTCAGAATTCTGAAATCATTTAATAGCTCTAGCCATAACTCATGATGAGAGAAATACCTCAGACGTGCCTGGCATTCCCAATTCTGTTTCGTCATTCGATTCCTATTATTTACTGCAGTTATGGTCGACAGATCGAGAAGGTATTCCCGTTTTACAGTTCGATGTGTCTGTGGATCATCGACTCGTGAGTGGAATCCAGATATTGAGAAGCTTCAAGCGTGATATTGGAGCCAGAAAATACATGATAGAAAGACCGACCAATCTGTTTTCGTTGGCTAGCTCCTTCAGTTCCTGGCATTCCCAAACCATTCCAGAGCTGATAGACATACAATTCAGCGCTTTTATGGCTGCTTGGCTATCAGAGATTATAATATCCCTGCTTCCATCTCGAATGATAAAGAACCGACTCTTCACATCCACTATCATGTGGTTTTTTAATACACTAGAAGGAAAGATTCGATATGGAATGTGAAGTGTTCTCATTTAAATTGAAAGCAATATATCATGCAATCGTACGATTTCAGAATTCTGAAACCATTTAATAGCTCTAGCCATAATTCATGATCGAACAAATGCCTTGGACGTGCCTGGCATTCCCAATTCTGTTTCGTCATCCGACTCCTTTTAATTTCTGCAATTATAGTCGTCAGGTCGAGAAGGCATTTCCGTTTTACACTTCGATACGTCTGTGGATCATCGAATCGTGAGAGGAATCCAGATATTGAGAAGCTTCAAGCATGATATTAGGGCCAGGCAATACAAGATAGGAAGATGAATGAAATGTGACCAACCATACGGTTTTTACCTTGTTTCAGATTGTGTGCTTTACGCAGTAGGGAAACCGGTTTACCTTCGATCTTCAGTTGAAACCTACGGTTGCTGGATGAGAGACGCTACTATACCCAATGACAAAGAACCTCAAATCTGGCTGACGAAGGAGAGTGAACCTACAGTACTGTACCAGTATAAGAATAAAACTCTTTATAGGAGAGATATTCCTGAAAAGTAAGGATGAATATGTGAATTCATAGTCTGTTTACATTGAGACGAATTCAGAATGCTATAATAGCTGATTTTTTTCAAAAGAAAATTATAAGAAACAAAAGCATTGCTTGTTTTCAGAAAATACCAGCTAGACCACCCTTTCGACGGCAATAATCAAGTGATATACAATGGCAGTTTTTTCTACAACGTCAAAGATACCAGGAGGATAATAAAGTTCCATCTTCAAAACCAGAGTACGGTTAGTAAGTAAAGCAATATAGGTAATATAGGCTTATTCTTCTCCTCCTCCTCCTCTATATACTTCTACTTTTGGTGTCGCATCCATGTGTGCCCCTTTGGATACCATTTGTTGGTTCCCACCATAAAGTGAAATGAAATAATTTTCGGGGGGTTTGTTGGGTTTCCCCATAATTAATTTTCCACAATTAAAAACCCTCCACTATTTTTACTAATATAAAAGTTGTTGACATAACCTTTTTATCCCCATGCAAGCACTCTTATTCTCATTACTCTTGTTGATTGTACTAATAACTTACTTTGATTTTAGGCAAGTATGTAATTTCTCATGTAAGGCTAATGATGGACATTTATATGTCCGAAACATGCATACATTTCTGATGTGTGTATCATTCAGTATGTAGTTTATACTCTACAGGTATCACTGGACCTTCCTTCAGGAAACCGCACCTCGAAGCTCTATTCAGACCAACATAACACAGTGGATTTTTGTACAGACGACAACGGTCTTTGGGTGATATTCGCGGTTCCGGACTCCAATAACACCGCTGTCATGAAGGTTTGTATATTTCATTGTCTGCTGAGTATGGAGAAAAAATCTAGTGAGCTGTAGTATCTGGTCTGCTCAATCGAGGAAAATGACCTACAGGTTTCTGTGGCCGATACAGTAGTGCCGCCATACGGTCAAGTCGAGAAAACACTTATTTCAATTGTTTTCCTATCGAACCTACATAACCTTGAAAATCGATCGTAAATGAGTTGAGCGGTGCTCTCGGCAGTCTCGGCCGGCGGCGTAGTTTTATCAGTGAGTTTGAGTTCAGTCAGGGTCACAGTCACTTAGTGACTCTACACACCTTATTTGAATGAGAGGTAGAATCAGTAGTATCGATTATCAGCTTTAATACTGGGAGCACAATAACAGAAAACTATAAACGGAAAATTGAAAAAGAAATATTGTTTTAGGGGAAAATACAATACAAGTCACGATGACACGACAGCTCTTGACACTGACAACTTACATAACCAAAAATTTCGAACATTTTCTAGAAAAAAGTGAAGATCATTTCGTCCGGTACGGTAACATCCCGTGGGGGTCATACACTCAAGTGAACTATAGAGCAGACCAGTCCAATGATAACTAAAATTTAATATTTTTCGCCATTGCATGAACAATTCTTTAACTTCGACAGGTAGGTAGTTGACAAAAATTATAAAACATCCTGGACTTGCTTTTATGCATTTAAATTTCAAACATTGAAAATTATACAGAGAACATAACTTTGGGTTATCTCCATAATGGAATGATCATTGACAACGGCACTGGGTTCAACAAGTCGTTACGAAATGTCCGGCGTTTTTTCATGTCATGAAATATCGTGAATATCAATGATTGTTTGAAAAATGTACAGAACTCTGCGGTTTGCGATGATGAAATAAAATTCTTTACTGAAATATGCCCAGTCTCTAAAGCTCTAATGAATCAGTATAGGGTATGAATCATCTCGTATTTTTATTTAGAATGGTCCAGAAACCGGATCAGAATTGGCCTTTCATGACAGCAGGCCCCGAATTCCATCCAATATAGAATACACTTCGTAACTCTAATCACAGTCCAACAATGGTGCACGTCTGGATCAATTCCGCTCGCAGAGACACAAATTTCCCCAACAGACAATGCTCAAACACACATTATTCCCGGGCAATTGTTCGTCATGCCATCCATGATCCCCAAATATTCATTGCAAGGCTACCCTGAGAGTAATATCTATCAGCTGTAATACGAAATCGTGTCTAACTTTTGAAATATTTCGGAATTGAATAGGAATATAACCAAGGGATTTTTTGAAGAATTCCAAATTGCCAAATCTATTGAATGAATGTGCCCATGTTGTTTCATTCAACATATAATTTGCTCCTATTTAGATTAGATTAGATTTGAAATGGGGTCTTCGAGTTAGTTTTTTTTCCTTTGAACGATAAAAGTATATTTTGTTTAGGAATAGTCAGTCTCGAAGAATACATTACAAAGTAATAATTCGTATGGAAACAGTGAAATGGAAGCTATCTAGTCAGCTGGAAAGTTCTGAATGAATTTTTGTAAAATTTTTGTAAAACTTGTGAAATTTGTAAAACTTGTATATCGCTACTTCAAAGTAGAAACTTATGCGGGGTTAGGAAGAGCCGGACCTACAGCTTATAGTGGAATCCGAACCACTTCTAGGGCATCAATGGAGTAAAAACGTTGTTCTAACAGAAACGATTTCAAACCAGATTTGAATTGTTGAATATCACAAGATGATTTGATATCATGTGGTAGACGATTGAATATTCTGAGACCTATATAATTCGGAGCAAGGGTGTGAATTTCAATTTTCCTACAAGTATTGATATTGTGCAAATCCTTATCTGATATTTTCATCTCACTCGTATATTAAACATTTTTGCATAAATGAACATATAGTATCTACATGCATGCCCACGAATTTAAAAATTTCATCGGCACGTAAATGATGTTCTATCATTAATATTCACTTGTGATGACAACATTTTATTCTGATAGTTATGGAATCGAATAATTTTGTTTTCTGTGGATTCAAAAATAGGTCGTGATCGCTGAAAAACTTATTTAGAGGCAGTAGCTAAAGTAACTTATCGCATTGGTTTTTAGAAATTCAGTGTTCTTTGCCGAAATTAGTAGGGACATATCATCGGCATAGCATATTGATGTGAAACAAAAATGATATGGGCCCTAATACGGACCCCTGAGGCACCCTTAACTGGATCTGCCCTACGTGGTTGACGCAGTCGAATGCCTAACTCAGGTAACATAGTATTGCAGCTGGGCATTCACCAGTTTCAATAATCTCCAAATAATTCGGTTAAAAAAGTCATCAATGCAGTTTGAGTAGATCTACCTACACGGAATCCATGTTGCATGGGACTCAGAATGTCATGGATATTCATAAAGCTCAATAAACGATCCCAAAAAGCATACGCAAAGATTTTTGACACACTTCGTGGAATAGTTCTCCCTCCACACCACGACCTATCCAGATCTACTATGTACTCTGTGTTCCCTCAGAATCGTTTAGAGTTCTTTGGCTAGCCCCGCCTCCTCTATGAAACTCCATAGGCTAGCTTTTAGATCCCCTTTGTGATTTTTGGCTCTTGGTTTTTACTCTCCCAGCGTAAGGAACCTTGGTCTTGACAATCCCTCACAGTGGCAAAGTATGTGCACTGCTGATTCCTTCTCTTCCTGACAGTACCTGCACAGCAGTTCTTCAGTCAGACCTGTCGTACTCGTGTATATTGATACAATGCCCCTGTGAGGATTCTCACTAGTATTCTCGTTTTCACGGGGAACTGTTTTGCAAGTTGAGTTTCATGGTCTATTTTTCAGCATTTGTGTTTTGGACCAGAGCCTCAAAGTGTGAATATTTCCAGGTGAACATCGATACGATGAAGGCCCAGTACATATGGAACATCAGCCTCGACCATCACAAAGTAGGCGAGATGTTCATCGTGTGTGGTGTTTTGTATGCTGTGGATAGCGTCACAGACAGGAACAGCAAAATCCGGTTCGCATTCGATTTGTACAAAAACAACCTGTTGGACGTTAATTTGGCATTCACGAACCCATTCCGGAAAACTACCATGTTGGGATACAATGCCAGGAATCAAGTAAGATACCTATTGGAATAAATATTCAAATACATTATGAGTTTATTGTTTTCTACAATCATACGTAAGTTGACAACTGTAAGTTGTAATCTCGAATCATGGTGAAGAATTCATTAAGTTTCAATTTTTTGAGGTGTTTTTGATTGAAGAAATCACCTAAATTTTCTTGCACTAATCTATTTACAGCCGAAAATGATCTACTCCTGTTTTTTTCCGCCTGAATCATCGTTATATTCACTCTCTGCTATTAGGTTATTGTAGGCAATGAAGAGACCATTGTCCATGGTTCATTCCATATTTCTGCTGACCGTTATTATGTTTTCTTTTTGCAGGAACTGTATTCTTGGGATAAGGGAAACCAATTAACTTATCCCGTCAGATATCACGACATAGGCTATAATGTGACGTCAAAAGAAGAAAAACCTGAATCAGCGGATGGCCGATAATCCACAGGGAGTCACGAAGAAATCGTTATAAATACAGGGCGAATCAATTCTCCATTGCTTGACAGGTTGACAGCAGATATTTTTTTAGGTGGAAGTTCATCTAAAGTTGGTACATAGACATTAGTCGGTGATACATTATGTGTTTTACATGTAGGAACGAATTGTATTGATTTACTTATTGTACAAATATGCATATGAACTGACTGATGATTCCTGTAGATGTCGCTGTAGATAATGTCCCAGCGAGCACAAACATCCCTGGGATGTTTTGGGATGTTCTGAAAATGTTTGCATTAAGAACATGACATCCCCAGTACGTCCATTTAGGACCATGAATACCTGAATCAACGTAAATTCGACTTTTTCTTCTCAGATAGTTAAAAAAGTGATCTAGACAGACTAGAAAGAATCTTAATAACAAAATTTGAAAACATGCGCTCTCACCGGGGATCGATCCCAGGACCTTCAGATTTACGAGCAGATGCTCTATACCTATTATTCAACAGAATCCTTAATAATATATCAGCATAGATGTCGATTGACCCTTCACATTGATGCTTTCATAGAATTAAATGATCACGGCAGATAATACCGAAATAGATGTTTTGTGATTAGATACGGCCAGTAAGAAATGAACTGTGAGAATTGTATTATGTTCATGTTCGCAAGGTTCCTACATGAATAGATATCAGAGATCGAGGGTAGAAATCACATGCAATGATTCCAATTATCATTATACAATTTATTCAATCCCGTTCAAAAAAAGTCGATAGCCTCCAGAGTTGGACGTACATCAGTACATCGGAATCGTACGTGTTAAGTACGTTCAGACGTAAATCGGACCTGAAATGGACGTCCCCAGAACGTCGAGTGCTATATTGGATTGGCTATTGTATGAAAGTTCTATTCATGTGTGGACAGGACATCGCAGTGAAGGTTGAATGTCTCGACATCTCGTACTTTAAACATCTCTGAGATGTTTTGTGCTCGCTGGAAAAGTAACTATTTCTCATCTCCACCTACATCTTGTGCAACAAGAACAAGTTAATTAGATCATTTATTTAATCTTTCAACAGCGCCACTGGAATTCGTATCTGTCGAATAATTACTCATTATCCTGGTACAAAACTTGACTCGTCCTGCATATTTTGTCAGGATAAAGGGATACCCAACAGAAGGTTAATGAATGAACAGCAGTGTCTTCAAGCCTTTTTGTTGGATTTTGGTCATTCCGATGAAGATCCACTCCTGTTCCAAACTCTGTTTAAAATGAATATCAATCAATGGCAAATAAATGCAGCTCCTGTCTTGTCACTTTTTGGATCCACAGTACACAATCGAAAAACACACTGCACACACGATCAGAGATCAGATAAGACAGCTTGAGCTTCTATTTTCTAGAGGGCACCACATCGGCCATGTTTCAAGGTTGGTAGAATTGATGATTTCAGATTCATGGGTATCTATGTTCTACAACTGTTTTCAAGTATATTTACCTATAAAGTTGTGATATAGAATTATACATACATTTCTATGATCCCAACATAAAAATTTGGATGCGATTACGTCAATAATAACCATTTCCCCCTCATCGCATTCTCTGATCGAGGCAACCTTCCCCTAAACATGAATCATCAGTTCTCCCAACCTTGCCATCTCTCATCATTATCATATTATTATTTACATGGTAGACAGGAGCGGTCTCAGGGGTTCAGAACCGGTTGCAAAAGCAATTGAAATGATCAATCTGTTTGTGACTAGGCAATGCATGCTTCAGATGAAATTTATTACGTTGATTTCTCTAAACATCAGTATTCCGTTGATTGGGGGTGATCCGTAGATTACCTACATATTTTATGATTCGAGTTTTATCGCTCGTCCTTGAATCTGAGGAGAAAAAGATTAATGTTGCCAAGATCTGGAAACATATCTGGTAAGTCATCCACTGAACTGAACACAGTGAATTTGTCTAACCATAATGTCAGATAATTCATTGACACATACTGAACCAAATAATCAAAACATGAGCAGATCGAAATGCATAATTATACCAAGATATCAAAGATGATTATAGGTGACCATGATAACTGCATGGATTCTTCTATATCATCATTTCAAACTATACTGTCAAAATTTGTCTAATAATTATATTATGTCATCTGGGGCAATATCATTTTTGTGTACCTACAATTCCATTTGAGAAGTGCTCATATTCAAATTATTAACGTATAGCAAGATAATTTTGTGATATATCGGTATAATTATATTGCTGCATATAGATATAGATAGACTTAGTATAAGTTTATATATAGTATACTATAATGTAGTTTCCTTTGTATTAACTTAACAATAAAGTGATTGTATTTTCTACAACTGTATCTGATTTGACGACTGGGTATGAAATAACATCATGTATAATATATATCAATATTCGGAAACATCCCATCAAGAATCAATACATGGCACATCACTTTTCAAACGATGGCACCCCAGTTATAATTATCATTGACATGCTATTTATAGGCACAGTATATAATTCTTTCATGCTATAGGCAATGGAAAATCACTTGCCGACACTGTTTTGAAATTTCTGAAATTATTGGGAAGTTATTCTGTGACACGAACAAATCTATCGATATTGTTCAGCTATCTCTAATAAGGATTTTGAATGACTGACATCATGGATATTCAGGCTATGGATATATTCCGAATTATACTGACAGTACTGAATCTGCTGATTTTTCATTCCGAAATCAAAAAAATCACTGAATGTGACAGATGCTTGTGAGCAGACATACTATTCATTACAAATATTTCGACTCAACATTCTGCTGAAATTGCTGAGTATCAAAAGGTAGTGTGGCTTTGGTGAACTGTCATTATTTCAGAGGGGAAAGCAATGTCACATTTATTTCCGTTCTTCCTCAAACATTAAGTCTCGTCTAATCAATAAAAAATCACTTATATAATTTTTCATATCAGAAAATGCCTGCTATTAAAATAATAATTGTCGCTGAGAATAATATTCAAATTTAACCAGCTGATCAACTGCTGATGATTATTGATGAAAACCATGAAAACGTGTTCCGAATTACAGCTCTGTATTTCTGATGTTATATTTAGAAATACAGATTTTCAGAAAAGTGGATGTACTGACAGTACTGCCCACTAAACATGGAACCTTCCAGAAACATTTCAATTCTACCCCATTGTGGACTGTTTCTTCCAGGTTTCCAGAATACTTTTCAGTCACTAGAACGTTTGAACGAAACTAAAATAAACCTCTTCAAGGAGATTGCACCCATGTAAGGATTCACGTTCTGATGCTGCTTCTACTGATGTTTTATGTTTTATGTTGTGTTGTCTGCACATTTTTCTACATCATAGTAAATAACTATCACTATAGGAAATCTCAATCCAAAGACACAGCTGCTGCTACAATACCACGCCATCAATGTTAAACTGTACTCATAATCATATTTCACTTCAACGCTTATTAAATTCTTTTCATGCCTAAACTTTGATATCCCGCCTCAAAATATAGATGACAGCGAGTAATATGTATTTCGTATGTTGAATTTCTTATTGCTCAGAAAATATGTGATGGATGGAAGACGCGGGTGTGATTGCGAAAAGGGGAAGGATCGGTATGGGTACAAGACAGTACAAGGTCAGACGGAGACGACTGAAATGAGACGAGAGTCAATGATAGCTTAGACAGCGTGAGCTCACCAACACTCAATCACCAACTCATGTTACATGATAATCCTATTTCGAGTTTGCGAAATACCTAGTCACTGTTCCTGATTTATGAATATATGTGTTTGGCAGTGGTAGACGAACCTGATAGTTAATTTGTGATCCATCGTATCAAGTTGCGTAGTTTCGAGGAGCCAAAAAGGGTCATCAGGATTCACAAAGTATTTTATCAAGAATTATTCCACATCCGAAGGAAATGTGAATGATATTGGTGAACGGCACGGATAACCATCATGAGAAGCTCTTCACATAATAGGTAGGATCCATATCCTATTGGCAATCGAATTATATTAATTGATTGGCTGTACATTTTTTCGCCGTTTTGGGGACAGAACATTGTGTTTTAGAGGAATTAGTTGAAAGTATTCATTAGGATATGTTGGGCTAGTGTGGACTTGATTAGACTATTTGCGTTTTAACTTTGGTCATTCTATTCCATTCCATGTTTGTAGTAACTCCTCCTTCCATCATGGACCATTGATTCTGTGTTTGATAGATCTGAATAAACATGCCTAATTATAATTTTCATTAGCCCATTCGCTCACACGTTTTGTGTCTAGATGATACATTGCAAGAACGACATTTGAGATGTAATTGTGTTTGCTGGGTTTCGAAGATTTGGGAATATACACACACTGGCACAATTAGGGAAACGGGTAAAATTTACACTAAGTTCGATATCAATTTTCTCTCGAACCGATCACTCGATTCAAATTCGTTTTTCACGAATTGTAGCTTCATTCTTCACGAATACATCTGAGAAATAACCACCTCCAAACGATGTTCTTTGAACATTATAGGGATTCCCTCTCGTGCGCTCCAAGCGATAAAAAAAAATATATACAGGGATGTAAAGAAAGTACAGATTTTTCGGTATTCTTTAAGACATCCTGTGGAGTGAACCACTGATAATTGTAACGATTTTCCAACACCAAATTATAGCCCAATCTATCCCGAATATTTTCGTTCTTTATTCATCTTGATATCCCAATTATCCAAGAAAATATAGAGTTTCAAAGAAGAGGTGGATATGGGTATTAATTTTACCACCTCGAAACTCGAACTGGGGAGAACGTGTCGTTTTTCAACTTGTTTCTGTGAGGATTTTTACTTCGAGATGGGAATTGTTCACAGTTTTACCTATCGGTTTACTGTTTAAAGACACATATACAAATACTTTCATGAATATGCAGGAGTGATGAAAGTTGCTCCAATGTTCTTTCGATGAAATGCTATTTTCGTTAATCAACGTTGGCTATTTTGTTAATGTCATTAATCATTGTCAAAGTCAAGCGATTCACAATTCATGAATTTGATTGAAGAAAATTCAACGTGAGAGATTTGACTCCTACTGACCAGTGGGCCAATGTTCTTTTAACATAATATGAGAGTCGCATCTGCACCAATTCAATAGATGACAGGGAAAGACTATATCGCCGAGGTGAACAAAATGAACAATTTGATTCTACTGCTTCTGTCTCCTATGGCAGATGTTTAGTCATGGTTAGGTTAGGTTAGTCAAGAAACGACACATTTTCAGATCCAATTTGAGTTTTGAGGTGTAAAATTGATACCAATTTCCACCTTTCCTTTGAAACTCTGTATTTTCTTGAATAATTGAGATATCAAGATGAATAAAAAACGAAATTATTCGGAATAGATTGGGCTCCAATTTGGTGTTGAGAAATCGTTTCAATTATCAGTGGTTCAGTCCACAGGATGTCTTAAAAAATACCGAAAAATCTGTACTTTCTTTACACCCCTGTATATGATGGAAAAACTCAACGTTGGAAGGTAATTATTTCTCAGATGTGTTCGTGAAGAATGAAGCTACATTTCGTGAAGAAAAAATTTGAATCGAGCGATCGGTTCGAAAGAAAATTGATGTCAAACTTAGTGTGAATTTTGCCCGTTCCCCTAATTGTGCCAGTGTATGTATTATAAGTGAAAACGCAACAGATTTGTATCATTATTAAGTACGTTTACTAAACTAAAAATATAATAAAATTACAAAATATCGCATAGATTAGCTCATCACGAGAGGCATTAAATTCCGTAATATTGCAGTATAAAAATATAAACTCCAACTGTCGCACTCCTCCATCATCTTCGGACTGGTTTCCCCTTAGGGGTCGGCCCCCCTTTGGGTTTGTTGAACTCGAAGTTAGCGCACTTGGGGATATGCCTCTCTGCCGCCGACTCGTTGAACCTCCTGCCACAGTGGGGGCACTGCACGTAGTCGGGGTTGGAGGAGGGCGGCGGGGGCGGCAAATCCGACAATTTGCCGCCCTTGGCGAGGTGTGCCTGCGCCTCCTTGGCCGCCCTTATGGCCGCGATGAATTCTTCGTGAGTGCGACGCCAGTCTTTCTTGGAAGTCTGTTTGGACGACTGAAAAAAGCACAATTGATAGTTTGTTGCAGAAATACAATTGGGATTGAAGAAAATATAAACTAAAATTGAATTTCTCGACAGAATAGTTTTGAACAAAGACAAAGTTGAAAGTGCATAGCACAAAAGACAAAGTCAGATGCCGTCACTGGCACAGCCTTTGTGTCTTTGGCAACATAAACAAACATTGTTTTTTGCGTTTGAGAACTACTCTTGAACCAACTAGATTGAATGATAATCAAATCAGCTCTTAGGCTTCTTCGCCTAACTGTCAAAGTCTTTGAGTTCTGTGGTTCAGACTTCTCAATAACATTTTCTTTATTAAAAAATGCTTCATCAGTAGCTCAACCTCCATATCCTTGAATGCCAACAGTAATCAGTCCTGATGGAGTGATATTGCAATAAGAATTTGACTGTTTTGAGTTTTGGAATGTGTCTGTACAACAGCAGCACTGAGGAACATAACATATCTTTCTAGATTCCTGTTTTCAGTCTTTTGTACTTGCTGCATGTTTTGGGAAAACAGTAAACTATCTCGTGAATACAAAAACATATTGGAAAACTTTCAGATTCATCAAAATTCACTGGATTGCACAATGCTAAATTTGTTTGTTTTGTTTATCACCTCCGCCATTTGCATTTTGCCGCTCGACACAAGACGACTAGGGAAACAGTGACGTCAGGCCAGAGAAATATGAGGCAACCTCATAGAGTTAAATGGCCTTGGACTCCACTCACTTCGGTGCATCGTCGCCAGACGTTATAAAAAGTATCGGATACTTGGTGCGCGGCGCGGCGCACCGCATCGTTGCCAGACGTTCAAGTATTTGGATATTACTCCGTAATACGGACGTGAGCCATTTGAAGGTGTGTAATGTGAAATATTCAGCTGATGTCTTATGCTAGATAACGTATTGTCGCCTTGACGTGCAAAATCGAGTCTGAGGACCTCACCTTGGTGCTCATGTGAGACTGTTTCCCCTTGCCCCCCTTCAGCACGTAGGACTCCAGCTCGGTGCCGATCACCCGGTGCTTGGTGGCGTCATAGGCCTTCCTCTTCTTCTTCCCCGTTTTGGCGCACACTTCCTCGTGCTTTTGGATGCGGTCCGAGGCGAAGCGGCGGCCGCAGTATCCGCACTCGGCCAGATCGTCTCTGGCCACGGCCGAGCGGGGCGATTGCTTGGCCGAGGGCCGGGTGGCAGTGGGGGCCCTGGCAGGGGCGGCGGGTTTGGCCTGAAAAATGGGTGGAAGGGTTGAAGGGTTTTTTTTTCAAGAATTTTTAAAAAAAAATTTTCTTTCTGTGACGGGAAAAAAGTTTGGCATTTCATCTCTGTTGGCAGGTTATAAAATGTCACTTTTCATGAATCAGTACTTTTTTCCCGGATATATATCACATATATATAGGGTGTTCCATAATTGAATGCTGATCCTTAAGGGCGATATCCTTGGATGATTTCAAAGAGAAAAGTTCATATCAACATATGTCCTAAACCTCTTAGTTATTGAGCTACAGGGTGATGAAATTTCGAGAAAAAAATGAGTTTTTCATCATAATTTTTCATCACTCTTAGATATTGTTATAATATTTTGTATACACCTTTTCATTATTAAGGAGCATTTTTTCACGTGAAAGATATTCAAAAATTCTCACCAGTGGCGTCCGTACGGGGTTTGAACTGAAAATTTTTGAAGAAAAAAATAGTACGCCACTGATTTTTCTGAGAACCAGATTTTTTTCTCAATTCTTATTCATTTTGGAGCAAATTTGGTTCCTAGACTTACTTTCATAAAACGTACCGTTTTCTCGTCAAAAAAATAAAAACCAAAGAATTTTGTTCCTTCAGTTCTTGGATATTGTTTTTGGTAATTCCGTAGACACCCACTATAAGTGGAAAAACATTTTGTTTTGGGACGAAAATCAAACTTTTACTTTTACCAGTGATGTCCTCGTAGACCTGATATTGAATGTTTTGTTTAAAAGAACGCTGTACGCTTCTGATTTCAACACCCTGTAGCTCAAAAACTAAGAGGTCCAGGACATATGTTGATATGAACTTCTATCCTTAAAATAATCCAAGGATCATCGCCCTTTAGGATCAGCATTCAATTATGAAACACCCTGTATATACACTGTTGATGGCTTTTGTTGTGCTATAGTTCCGAAAAATGAGTCAATAATACCGTCTCCGAGAAAGAACTGCAAGTCCTTTTATCTTCCATTCGACTTCGCGGTTACGTATATTACTAAACAACCACGAAATTCGCAATTTTTTGAAATCAAATCACAGAATTAGACTGACAGAAGTGACATCAGATATTTGATTACTTCATAAGAATGATAAAGATGCCTACAACGTAGGTGTCCCTAGGTATTGTTGAAAACTTGAAATTTCACGTCGATAATATCTTCTCAATATCGATTCTCATAAAAAATAACCATATTCCTAATCCTCAATTCAAAAATACTCACAAAATACAGTCACATAGGCACTTATATGATGACAAAAATACATGACAAATAAAAAAATTAAATGTAACAAACAAACTGTTATAACAGGGGAATATAAAAAATTGAATTTCATCTGAAACAGATAGATTATTGTCCTTTTTTGGTTTGAATATATCATTAGTACCTATATATGTAAATTCATTACTTATTTGATGAAATTAATTCAAACAGAGCGTCCCGACATATCATGCAATTCCTAAGAATCCTAAGTGTATGTGATAAACGGAAGATTAATAATAAAATAGGTAATTTATATATTTATAATAAATAGTTGTCAAAATATTTTTCAGTAGGTTATGAAACGTTTCAGTATATCGGTAGATCAATATGCAAATCAGGAGATTTACTGAAAATTCAGTTGTAGCGGACGAAGAGTTAGTGTTTGCAGACGAAGAGTACTTGCCTTCGAAATTAGAACGTGAAAAAGATTTTTTGCAGAGGTAGAGATAAAATTGTATTTTTGTACTGACCTTGTCACCCATAGCTGAGCTGCTAGTGCTGTTTGTACTGCTAGCACTACTAGGTGTTCTTGTAGGGTTTCTTGGGGACACCGAAGTCCTTGTCTGTGCAGGTGGAGTCGTAGAGTTGGTTGTAGGGGTAGCTTTCTTAGTTACGGGCTGAAATTTATAGGAAATGTGAGATTTCCTGCAAGAACTTGTTCGGATAATGCAGAAATGCTACCTGGATGTATAAAATGTTGAAATATGACAGGATTTGGGTGTAGACGTGTAGACACAAAAATTTTGACGTTTGTTTTTTTGACAAGCGAATTTATTTGAAAGTAATCACTTGACAAATTTCATATACAAGGTGTTTTCTATCTGATTTTATAATACTATCACGGAAAAAAGGATTTGTTGCATCAAAAAATTATTTATGCTTGAATTATTTTTGTTGGACTGAGCAATTTTTTGTTGAATTAAACAGCTACATGGTCATTTCATGGAAGCAGCTCGTTCAAATCGAGAATGTAGTTTAATTGAACAGTATAATATCAATTCCATCAACAGAGTATATAGCGTTATCTCAAATACCAATTATGTCGTTCCAAAATAATGTCGATGTCGATTCAATTATAAACATTTTGTTGATTTGATGAAATAAAGATCATTTTGATAACCAATATATAATTGAAACAACATACTAGTTTTCTTATTCCGATATAGCAATGAACTCATTTTGAACGGATCATTTTCTTGAATAGAGCAACGAAATAATTATGAAATATCAATGAAATATATTGGTTATTCTACATCAAGTTAAATTTTCGCCTCTAGATGGCGATCTTTTCGTCTCGTCTATGCCTGCTTCGAATTCATTGTATACGTGAAGACTGATTCTTCGTGTTTGAAATATCAGCTGGATAAATCGAACTAAGGATGTTTAGCAAGCCGAAATATTTTCTGAAAAGAAGAAATGACTGAAGATATATCCTAGAAGTCGTATAGTTTCCTAGTCTAGTTCATTATATTGATGTGAAATTTCAGGAAATTTACAAATCAATAATGAATTTGGTTCAACAAAACAATTTGTCGAATGGCAATACAGTTTCTCTTGAATCAACGGAATATTTCAATGGATCAACGAAATATTTCATCGAATCAACCAAATATCTCATTGAATCGACCATAAGTCATTGAATCAACCAAATATTTCATTGAATCCACTGAATATTTCATTGAATCAACTAAATATTTGATTGAATGGATATCTTGTTATTTTTAATCCAACAAAATGATGTTTTGAACCAATTCAATATCTCTCCATGAACAATTCATGAATGTGCTTGATTGAATAAGACCCAGAGTTCATGCAAGACATATTTACTTGATTCAAACTTCAAATTCGCTATGAAACAAGATATAGATTCACTCATTCCAAGATTATATTTTGTCGTGCATATATGGCAATTATATTTGCTTCATTCAATTGAATTTTGCATGATTCAACAATTTCTTTTTTCCGTGATACCTACACCTCCCAATTTCCACTGTCGGAAAATTATTGTACTACCTTTTTCTTATATTGTTTTTGGAAATTGAAACTCTAAATGGAGATTCGACGGAAAATTACGGAGGAGAACTTTCGTTTCATAGCACGACATCGTCTGAAGGTCACCAGAAACCCACGTAATTCCTATGAAAAACGATGAAACCCGCTCACATTTTCATATTTCCAACGGAAATTTCCACCAATTGGCCAGTTTTTACGTGCTCCCTTTCTTTTTGCGATGTTATCATTAAATTCGAGTGAAAGTTATTCCGTTGTTCGAATATGTGTAATGGACACGCAACTTCATACGAACTCCTCGGGCAACTCCTTTGTCAGTTTCGTGGAAGATATCGAATTATTAATTGGAGTTTCGATTCAAGGTTATCACGAAGACGATATATGTATAACAATAATTATCATTATAACCGGATATGAAATCGATTGAATTCTGAAATCTGAATAGATGAGTAAATTAATGAAAATCCACTTCAATAGTGTAAGGTCAATTCAGCTTTCGTATTTATATAGCAATAAGCTCGGTAGCTTTCAGTGAACGAAATAGTTATTTGATTTAGTAGGCAGAAAAAGCACAAAACGTAATGCTGCATCTGGCGTGTAGCCGAGGCTAGAAAACCATCTATGTGAAACATGTTTGATTTTTCATCTGAATTTCACGCAAATTCAAAATAATTCAAAACATTTTGTGTTCACCCAATGTCATTTTCGATTTTGGTTATCAATATGATTCAAATTATTACTTGAAAAGTTGCAGAGCAACAAACTTTTTCTGCCTAGGCAGTAAAAGTACACCTTTCATGTCTGTCAATAATTGTTGTTAAAAAGCGTTGAGAAACTAATTTCCATGTCATCTGGAGAGGAACAAAATTTTGTTAAAGAATAGAGTGGAATAGACATACAAAAAATTCACTTACATGACTTTCTTTTCTATAGACAGGCGTATACCCATTAGAAATAATATTTTTCTTCTGGCTCTTCTTAGCCACACCATCATCAATTTTGGTTCTAACCACCTGTTCGTAATTGTCCACCTCGTCAAACCCAATTCTTGGCATTTCCTCGTCATCCAAACTGTCGCTCAGATTATGATTGTTCATCATATCGATCATATCCCTGTGAGACTTGCTATTATAAGCATCGTTCTCGATGACAAACTTCTGCTCCTCGTACGACTCCCTGCCGTTATTGTTTTCAAACACCCTCTGTACCACCTGCTTCTTCTGGGCCACAGGTCCGCCATTCCTGATGCTGGACACGGTTTTCTGCACCGTGGACCGCACCGCAGCGGTCCTGGTGGTAGCAGCGATGTGTCCGGCCGCCTTACGGTCCAGACTCGGTCCTCTCGGAGCCGTCTTCGATTTGAGCGGTTCTAGGGGGTAGCTGCGGTCGACGCCTGCTTTCTGTCGTCGTTCGTCGAACATTTGACGTACTTTGCCGCCTCCTGTAGAAGAGACGCTCGTGTTGCTGCCCGCGCTGCCTCTGCTTACTCTGTCGAAGGCTCGCTGCTGCTGGTTCTCGTAGAGCTTGAGCAGCTTTTCTTCTCGTTCTTGCATCTGTTTTTGCTGGAAACGAGCCTGCGAAAAACAGATTGGAATCATAATAACTAATTTCGTATAGGCTGATGATAGACAAATGTATGTCCGAAAACACGTTCCCCCTGATGTGACATTGTTCACATAGTAAACTGTCGTGGAAATGATTTTGAATTTTATTTAGTTATTACAACTACACTACACTTTGAGAAATGTTGGATTTCTACCCGAGATTGGAAATATTATTGATTATACAGGGTGATGCGAAATCAGACAATGCTCCACAATTGAAAGCTAGGTCTCATGATAAGTCGATTTCAGAGATACAGAGTGTTGAAGTTGGAAAGTCAGATCTTGATCAAAGAGAGAATACTGAAATTTTTCTTCTTTTTGTTATATGCTTTTTCCTCAAAATCTTTCATTTGACGATACAGAAACCTCGGTTCATCCAGTGACACGCCAGAGGGGGTTGATGTTACTTCTTCTCCGATATTTTGTACGAGATTGATGAAATTCTGACTATAAAATTTGTCGAATTCCCTGATCCACTGGAAGGATGCATGACCTTCTAATGTGTTAAAATTAACAGTTTTCGAGATATTTGACCAAAATAATATTTTGTATGGTAATTTTTCATCGTTTTCAGAAATAGAAAATTACGAAAATATATTTGTCTTATTTTTTATGAAAAAGTGTCTATATAGACAAGTTTCTATTTATTTTGAGTTTAATAACTTTAAAAATATTTATATTGAGCCGCGTATTGAGCTCAGTTGAAGGTGTTGCATTTTTTAACAAAATATAAATGAACACTATAGATGAAACTGTGATACAAAATCGACGAATTCGAAGATGAAACCATATACCGATCTTGAATGCAAAATATTCAACTGTTCTTGAGTTATCGCGGAAAAACTGATTTCATTTCTCAACTCCACCTGTCGAGTGTTTTCTGTCGAATTTCACAAGACCCTGTATAGGCATCACATATTTGTAGGGTTTTGGACCTCAATGTGTGAGTTTGAGTTCACTATTCATTTTATATAATGAAAAAAGTATATCGGCCTGATGCACTTCAACGCCCTGTAGCTTCTCAATCATTCCTTCTTGTATATATAATATATAATCTAATATGTTCTTGTAATTTCTCAAAAGATCGAACACCTACTTGATTTTTTTGAAAAAAAAAAAAAACAGATCGATTGAAATATTCATCAATACTATAAAAACAACCGTTGATCAGAAATTCTTTGAGTTAATTTTGAAATGATTTTCCTGTCTGTGTATATATTTTATTTCATCAGATAAGTGGTAATAGAATTTTGCTCCCTTATAAGATGGACAATTTTCATACAGACGAGTTGAATGTTTCTGAAGCCTTATTAATTCATCGTGCCTGGTGGGATTTGTTTCCGGAATAATAAAATACATTTGTAAATATAAATGCAAGGTACACACAAGATTTTATCCTGAATGAAGTGTACAAGATTCTCCGAAGTCTATTCCATATATTAAACGTGTGACCCTTTCCTGTGAGACAAATATTTTTCTGAGTTTTGACAAACATCCCCAAATGGCAATATTATTAGAAATATGGGGATATGGAACAGCAAAGTAACCATTTAGAAGTTTAGCCTTATTGAAAGTGGACCTCAATTGTCTATACTCTATGATCAAGGTACAAAAATAACTGTCAGTACAAAAAAATCTTACGTTTGATTTTCGCAATTCCAGCGCCTCCTGTATACTTTTGGCTGCCCAAGATGACTCGAAATCTATCGATACAACGTTATTCAGACTGGCAGACAGAAATCTGTTCATTTTAGTGTTACATTCACATTTTCATCACTCTTGTGGGTCTAAGCTTAAAAATTCGAACCTCAGACCACTGAGATTTGATGATGCTGACTAAAGTTTTTTTTTCTATATCTCACGTAGCTTAGCACACTTATTTTTGTAAAACTATAACCACCGTTTAGTTTATTCGCTATTCTCACCCCTAGTGAAGAGCTCTGCTAATAGTGTACTGACCACCCGATTGACAAACATGCGCTGAGGGGGTGGAAATGGGGTTGCAAAGTGGACTTCGGTCAGTGGGTTAGCTTTTTTTGTTTGTGTGTATGTGCGTGTGTCGATAACCCATGCTGACTGTGCAACGATTGCATGTTGCATGATAGAAATTCCATATAGGGTGTGCATCGGAAATGAGTGTTTAACGGATGTTTGAAGTTACTCAAGGTCCTGAATTTCTACTGCGAAATCGCGTTTGAATAATTCGTATAATATTTTACTCGAAAACTGAGCTGTGATTTTCCCACCCCGCTATGTATACCCAATTATACTCAATCGATGAAAACTATATAGGTATTTGACCGTTCACAGGCTGGGTATGACTTCAGGAAGATAATATAACTTTTTTCTACTAGCGTTCACTTTTCTGCACTCATTTCAGTGTTGAAAGAATCTTTCTCAACACTATATAGCGTGGGAAACAGGAATTTTAAAGTGAACTACTATTACAAAATCATATTTTTAAATATTCTAATCTATGTATTGTGTATATCTCAGAACGGCCTATGGTGGAAATAAATTCTTCCTCTCATTGGTCGTTGACGAATAGGCGTGGATTTTTACTTTGAAAAATAATTTGATGATTGCATCAAATATAATTGATACATGGATATATCAATATGAAATAAGTATAGGTATGTATCGTAAATTCGAGTAAAGTGTGTACAACTGTCATCAACTGACACGCGTGTGAGATTGCAGTTTCCGAAAAAAATCAGTAGGTGCACGATACAATTGGAAGTGGAACCTGTGCAAAGGCTGTTTCTACATTTTTGTGAATTCATTTGGAAGGATTTGCTGCATCAACTATTGAAAAACATCACTGATTCTGAGATATAATAATGAATATCATTATCGTTCATGGTCATAATTATTATTATCATCTGAAAACCAATGAATCAAAGCTATGATGTAGATGTGGTTAATAAATTACGACTTTTGTAGATATTTATGCAATGTAACCAGATAGAGGAGAAGCTTGGCTGATGCGTGAGCAACGCAAATGGGCGTGATGCAAATGATTATTTTTTTCTATATTTACTTACACTGAAAAAAATGATGAAAAATAACATATTCAACTGTGAGACTTTAAAAAAGTGGACACTTCATTAGGAACATAGATGATGCAATTTTGGAAGATACAACATTGTTTCCTAATAAAGGAAGGAAGGTAAGGGGGGGGGCAGAAACTGCAGTAAACATGGTGTATCCTCAAATCAATTCCTGACATTATTGCTCAACTGAGCTTCCAGGTAATATGCAGTTCCTTTGAATTCCTCATCTGGAACCTTGAAAATTGATAGGGAAAACCTACAATTTTATCAAGATATGTCCCGAATTCTGAGAGTTTTATACCCGATATGCGAGCCGATATGTATCTATTTCAAACCATCTATTAATCGTTTCATGAAATATTGATATTAGCATTAAGTCAGCCTTGCTCCGATTTGAATAAAAAATGAACTTCTTGAATAACCTACGTGTCACGACCTTGAGGTTTTGAGCTGTATGTATCTCTTTGAGCCTATAAATAGATTAATCTATAGATAAGTATCGATACCTACTTATTAACTCGTTTATTCAACTAGAATGCACATTTCAATGCATTTCAATATCTTCGATTGAATTTAGTACTCACTGTATATTTGAGTTTTCACAAATTGATTAAAATAATTTTTTTCAGTAAAGAGTTCCATAATCATCATTTGACTCTTAGAAAAACTAGAAGGGAAATTTGATCCATGATCAGTGTTTGATATATCTTTGAAGAAGAGGAATATCACCATAATAATTCAGACAAATGTAAATATTCGTTGTTGATCAGTGCTCTGAAATCAGTGCCTACCTGCCCTTACGAGATTGTGGTATCATATTTGATACCACCTACTGCAGTCGTTGGAGTATTATCACCTCCAGTTCAACAACGCCCTGTTTTGTAGCCATGGCATGGGGGCTTGAGTCATGGGTCATAAACATAATTATATATTTGTTATCGTCAACCTGTCCTCCATTTCTGGTAGTGATGATCATGTTTGTGTTGAATAACCGTTATGGGCATATTTTATCATCTCCATATCTCGATTACATCGGCGTTTCAACGTTTTTTTTTGGGCCGCTTAACTTCTGGAACTTTCTGATTTGCTACAGAGATTGAAACAGTAATCATAGATCTGAATACACACCAGTAATAAAAAATGAAACCATCATGGAATTGGGGGTCGGTCGAAATCAAAATAGAGAAATTACTGAAAAATGCACAAATTGCAGAAATTGCAAAAATCGCAAGAATGCCTGAAAATTGCAAAAATTGCAAGAATTCCTGAAAATTGCAGAAATCGCAGAAATAGCAAAAATTGCAAAAATCGCAAAAATTCCTGAAGATTGCAAATGTCGCAAAAATGCCAGAAAATTGCAGAAATAGCAAAAATAAAAAAAAAAATCCTGAAAACTGCAAACATTCCTGAAAATTGCAAAAATTACAAAAATTCATGAAAATTGCAAAAATTGCTGAAATTGCAAAAATTCCTGAGAATTGTAAAAATTTAAAAAATTCCTGAAAATTGGAAGAATTCCTGAGAAATGCAAAAATTGCAAAAATTCCAGAAAATTGTAAAAATTCATAAATTCCTAAGAAATTGCAAAAATCGCAAAAATGCCTGATAATTGCAAAAATTCCTGAAAATTGCAAAAATTCCTGAAAATTGCAAAAATTCCTGAAAATTGCTAAAATCGCAAAAATGACTGAAAATTGCAAAAATCGCAATAAATCCTGAAAATTGCAGAAATAGCAAAAATTGCAAAAATTCCTGAAAATTAGCAAAATTTCTGAAAATTGTAAGAACTGAAGATTGCAAAAATCGCAAAAACTCCTGAAAATTTGAAAAGTTGCAAAAATTACAAAAAATTGCAAACATTGTAAAAATTCCTGAAAATTACAAAATATCCTGAAAGTTGCAAAAATTGCAAAAGTT